AGGTCCAGTCTGCAGCCTCGGCCCGGGCTCAGCTCTTCCCTCTGGACATGCAGGGGAACCAGATCCTGCTCTACAGCCAGGCCTCCGGGCTCCCCCTGGATCCCGCTACTCCTCCGCTGGGAATGATGGGCGGAGCCTCTTTCAAGGCTCCCAGTTTGGAGCACGGTGCGGTCCAGATGCAGACCGGGTTAGGGGCGGATGGGTCGGACGGCGGTGGCGCTTCAGGTGGAGGCGGCGGCTCCGGAGGGACGACCAAGGTGTTCATGTGTCACTGTGGGAAAACCTTCACCCATAAGAGCATGAGGGATCGCCACATCAACATGCACCTGGACCTGCGGCCGTTCCACTGCCCCGTCTGCTCCAAGAAGTTCAAGATGAAGCACCACCTGACGGAGCACATGAAGACCCACACCGGCCTCAAGCCCTACGACTGCCTCAGCTGCGGCAAGAAGTTCATGTGGCGCGACAGCTTCATGAGGCACCGCTCGCACTGCGAGAGGCGCAGCGGGCCGGGGGAGGACGGAGGCGGGGACGCAGGGAGACGAGGAGGAGAGGAGGGGCCGGATTTTAGCACCTCCACCCACCTCCTCCTGTCTGCACCTGAAGGGCAGGGAGACGGAACCAGAGGAGGAGCTTCTGTTTCTGCTGCTGCTCTGACGCAGCAACACGGCGGCTCCTCCTCCACAGCAAGCAGTCACCATGGAAACAACATGGCCGCTGCAGGAGGGCTACTGGGTCCAGATCAGGTGTCAGGGATTTTTGGAGGTCTGGGTTTGGCTCGGAGTGTGTGTGAGGAAGATGTGTGTGAAGTCAGCGCAGATGAAAGCAGCGTGACCTAAAGCTGAGTTTGACCCAACAGGAGCTCAGTTCTGATGGTTCTGATGGTTCTGATGATTCCTACTGCCTTTTATTTATTACCTGGGAGAATCCAGAATATTTTCCAAAACAGGGAGAGAGAGAGAGCACTTTGTTGGAGCTTCTGTTTGACCCAGACTCTCCAGATGGATCAGTTCTCTAGATTCAGACTAAAACTGCTGCCGTTCAGTTTCACTTTGTCTCAAATCATCAAGTTTTTGCACAGATTTGAAAATCGGACCTGCTGCCTCACAGTACGCCTTCAGTTTGAATCATTTAAGACGTTTTTTGTTTGTTAAAACAGCGTTTGTTTGTTGTGAGGAAACCAGAGCACTGTTGGTTTCTGCGGGAACCTTCCAGAAGGAGCAGAGAAACGGTCCAGATGTTGTAACTTCTCTGCAGTTCATAACATGACCTGTTGCTGTGTTCAGATAAATGTCTGTTAGAGTGATTAGAAATAGAAAAATATAAAAATTCATGTTTCTATAAGAGACTACAGGACAGCAGGGTTCATATTGATGATTTTCCTAACAGATTTTGGTCACACTGGGGCTGAGATTCAGGTTTATGAATAATTTATGATTCATCTGAGATATTTACACATTTTAATTAAACAAAAACTTCAGATATTCCTCACAGAATCACTTTGTTAATGTTGATTGTCTAAATATTCCAACTTTACATTAAGATAAATCGCTGCTAGAAATAAAATCTTACAGAATAATTCTATCTTTAACCTTTAGGGGGCGACGGAGCACCTTTTTTTTCTTTACAGTCCTCTATGTTTTTGCTACTTAAAAAGAATATTTATCTTAATTTTATACATATTTAAATCTGTATTATAAGCTGTTCACTGTTCAGTTTCTGTTTTGATCTCATATTTAATTATTTGGAAGTGATTTATTAAAGTCAGCTGGATGCATCTGTTCAGAAATCATCAGTAAATAAAAACGAATGCTCTCCAAGGCTTTTCTGACTATAAATGTATCTGTTTTTGTTCAGTATTTTTATTTTTATTTCTTATATCCAGGATTCTCTGGGATCCTAGATGAGTTTTCAGGGTCTGGTTTACATCATTAACACTGTATTTCAGTATAAAAGTTATTTTATCATAAAAGGCATGTATGCAGCACAGATGTATGAAGAAAATAATATGTTTATATTTTGGTTTTTAAACTAATCTTCTTGATTAATTATGTTTCTTAAAAAGATCTAAAATTATTAAAGAGCAAAAGTTAACCAGACAGTTTCCAGAATACTAGCAGTTAAATATTTTGCAGTTTTTTTTTTCCCGACTGATATTTGGCCTCATTAGAGATAGTCTAAATAGATTCCTGTATCTTTTCTTATATACATAACTTAATTTATAATATAAACTAGAATCGATAAGTGTTTTTGCACCATATTTTTTTATTTTTATTTTGTTTAACGTTTGTTGAAAAATGTGTAATTTGATTTCAGGTACCATATTTGACCATATTAAAAAAGTTGGTTGTTTGAAGTGTAAAGGTCACTTATTAAAATTAAATCAAAGTTTGCAGTAATCAGGTTCTTTTGAAAAAAAAGTTACAGTATAAACAATATGACTGAATTTACTGTATCTTTTAATTTGAAAATCTGTTTTTAATTAATACCCACATTAATAAATCACACATCGTAACAGGATCACAAATTAAATTCATACCTTTAATTGGATATTTTCATATCTTTAAATCAGACTTTTTATTATATCAGCACATTAAATCACACGTAACCATGGCAACAGTCTGTTTTATTTTAACTAGATTTGATTTTTGTTAGTTGTAGCGCTGTGGATTGTCCACTAGAGGGTGCTGTTTATCATTCAGTCGAATGACTGTTGTGAACACCTGTCAGGTTTAGCTGGATTTTCTCCATTTATAGATCACATACACAAAGTTAAGGGGCCGTTTTTATGTTTGTGTTTAGTATTTATTTAAATAAATCATTTTATTAGCTAAAATTTGAATGTAAAATATCTTTTTTTATTTAAACCAAACATTTATCATCCAGGACCTCTGCAACCCTTATAAAGCCTTTAGAGATGCTTTAAGTTTGGAGCTGCTTAATTTGTGTTTTGCCTTCTGTGAAGGTTTAGTTTGAATGTTTTACCTGCAGGTTTGGAGATCAGCATCAGTCAATAAATACTAAAGGATGATTAATCTGTGTTTTTCTCCACAGAAGAAGAACCTGAATGTCTAAAATGTGTCTGATGAGTGAACATCTCAGAGTTCTTATGCTCTTAACATTTGCATAGAGATTAATGTGAGAAATGATGCAACCAGGTCACTTCTATAAAACGGAGCATCAGTTTCTGTCTGAACACAATGTCTGCAGCCGAATGAGAGTTAAAAATTTTATCTCCAAATTTGCAACACATGGAGGGTCTTTTTAAATAAACAAAAATGAAATCGTAGGAAAATGAATCCTAAACCAAAGATGGATCCTAAGTTAATTAGTTTAAGGTTGCTGCAGTCCTGGTCCCCCTGTTAAAAGAACTGTGTGAGAATAAATGTGTAGATTATTGTTTCTGGAGCTAAAATCTGCCTCTAAAAATCATAAAACATTTGTTTGTAAATGAAACGGCTCCATCTCAGACGTCCTCTGTTTGACCAGATGATTGTTGTACAGAAAACAGGCGTGGAACTAATCATGTAAAAAAAAAAAAAAAAAGGTTCAGTGCATCAATATTAATCTCTTTACTGAAATAATGGACTAATAAATTATTTTAAAAATCACCAGGCTGGTCTGCATTCATTTAATTCAGTTCTCCTCCTTGAACCGTTCATCAACTATCTGAGTCAGGGCAGCGGCTGTTCATTTCTTTTATATACATGCTGAAAAGTTGTATTAAAATCATTATTCATAAAATAAGAAGGAATCTGTTCATAAACAGATCTTTCTCTTATTTTACCAAGAATTGGTAATAAACTTATTGTTTTACTGTTTGATCCACAAGAGGGCATTTTCTTATCCCTTTAAAGCCCGATCCAATAATAAAACAAAACAGAAAGTTACTTTTTTTGGTTTGAAGTCCTTATTTGGCCTTTTACCAAAATATGTAAAAAGAAAAAACAGAAATACATTTTTGATATTAATACTTTATTACTATGCGATAAGTCAAAATTATTTTTTGTCTTCTGCCCTCTGTTATCAGGTATATCTGATTGTGTACAATAGGATTTTGAGCAAAGTTTTTACCATTAAATTATGCAAAAGGTGTCAGACGCAAAACATTTCAGAAACCGTATGTATCAAATATGATACATTTGGCAATTATAGGGTTATTTTTAGGTATTGGTACTACTTTACATGTTTTCCATTCACAAATTAATTCCATGAGCAATAATGGGAGCAATGATTGCAACTATTGGTTCAAACAAATTATCAAGGTAATCAACACCAGGTTGTTTGAATTCCACTTTAGAAACACTGAAACTTTTGAATTTAAAGCAACATGTTTTGTATTCTGCTTTCTAGAGAACATTCTGAGGAAGAACATCCAGCTGTCAGTAAATTACTTTAAACACATTGGCTATTCTACAAATAATGATCAAAGCACAGCAGGCGGCCCGCCTCTGAATGCAGAGCTACACCTAATTGTAACGTTGGTTTAAGACATTAAACACTTCTGGTGTTTTAAACCCATATTTATGTTTATATTTAACTGAATTAAATCGGTTCTGTGGAGCAGGTTGGGGTAAATGATGGTAGGAGATGTTGGAGCCAGTTATATGGCTCAGGGGGAGCTTTGACTTCTTTACACAGTCGGGCCGGTTTGGATAAGATCGTCCTTAGTTTCATTTTTCTACTCAAGTCATCTTGGTCTTGAATATATTTTTTTAATAACTTGAAACCTTTAAGAGTAATAAAATAAAAAAGGAAAAAACAACAGAAATGTATGAGGGTGTAAATAATTTCCCCATTCCAATCCTTCTAAGATATTTGCTCTATCACAATAATTTAAACTGTTTTCTTAACCATTTAATTTATTTTTAACAGATTTGAATTAATCAAAACCTGGTTCGCCTCTTAAAACCATTTCAAATATTTAAGATTAAATATTTAACAAAAAACACAGGCCTTTTTTTTTTTTTTTTTTACCAAACTCCCATCATTTATTTTTGTACCAAAATAAAATAAAAAAAGGATTTCACAGTGAAGGAAAACTCCAGTAGACAGAGGAGCAGAAATGTGTTCGACTCATTTCTCTATCCTGACGCTCTGAAAAGAGCTTCTACCCTGATGAGGACAAAAATTCACCCACGAGGTAAAAACAAAACTTTCACACATGATAAAAAGAAACGGCGGTGAGAGAAATCAGATAAAGTCCATCGCATCAGAGCTCAGCTAATGACGATTAGCCTCAGAACAGTGACGCTACCAGAACCAACAAATACGTTTTATTCATCGGTTCCTGAAGATGTTTTCACAAAAAATTCAGAATCTGGGAAAAATATCAAGATATTTCAGGGATAATAAGTATCAGTAAGGATCAGAAAGAGCTTTTTCAGCAGAAGGGAGAAAAATAAAACCTTAAAAAAAAGAGATGATAAACTAATGGAGTATTTTTACTGTTTTAATGATTGTAGAGATTTTCATCCATTAATTTTGTTTTCAGTTAATGTTCTACTCTAGTTTTTTCCTGCATTTGGATTTAACAAGAAATTTCTCTTCTAATATTTCATTAAAAGTTCATTTAGAGAAACCAGTTCCATCAAAACAAACTTCTGAGTTTAAAATATGATCCCTGCTGCTTCCTTTAACCTAAATGTTTCCAAACTGTTCCCCTTATCGGAGCATTTAATGGCCTGTTTTCCCCAACATGGCTCCTGAAGGTTTTTGCATAAATCCCAGAAAAAAAAGCACAAGGTAAAGTGTTTAGGTCTACTTTCTAAGGCGGATTAACACGCCTCCTAATGCTTACAGCAGAGGCAGGAGAAAACAAGGCCACATCTGGACGCCTTAAGCAGGTAAACTTGTCTAACTTCCAAAGAGCATGAAACTAAAGGATCATGTGGCGCTAAATTAAAATATAATCTGCATTTCCTCCCAGATTTTAAAGGAAGAAACAGAAGGTTGAGCATAAAGTAAAACTTTAAATGAATCATTTTCACTTTTAGTTTCAATGGGAATTGCAAACATTGGTCAGCAGGTGGCAGTGTTGGCTACTTTAAGTGTTGCTCAGTTACAAAGGAAGCATCTCTGACCAGATTAGACTTAAAAAACAAGCTAAAGACATTGCAGGGATTATTCCTATCAGCATATCAGTTTTGAAATGTAATAATTGGATGTTTCCTCTGATTGTGTTAGTCATTTACTTGTTTTAGTAAATGTTTTTAAGTGTGGAAACATCAAAACGAGAATCCTGATGCTTGGGTATATGAATGAAATAGATGAAGAATCTGGCATTTGTTTTTTTTGTCTTTTATGGGTTTGTTCAAAAGAGAGAAACTAATCTGAAAAAAAGATAAACTTACTTTATTTTGAATCTACAAATCTGTTTCTAAGGGCCGATAGAAAAGGAGAAAATGAGAAGTTCCCACATCTCTGCTGCGCGTCACAAACCAAACCAATCGCCTCGGTTTATCCCGGCCGTCAGCACAAGCAGAAAATCCATTTAAACAGAAAAATCCCTTTTATAAAAAAATACCCCCCTAAAAAAAACTGAGTTCATGTACAGTTCATCATCGTCGTCATGGAAACCATCAGGTCCTGTTCTTATTGACAGGAACTGGACTCAAATGGCATAAAAAACACAAGCACCGGCTGGAGAAACAGCATCTAGATCAGCTGTTCTCACTTGTTCATGAGGTCTGCACAGACAAGCTGTTAGAGAGCGCCTCCCTGCTGGGGGGAAATAGAAACTGCACCTTGATGAGTGGAGAAGCGTCAACAACATCCCAGATCAGTTATGTGTATTAGCTGTGAACAGAAACAGCTGCTCCTTGATTTCGACTGATAGTCTGTGATACTGACTTTTTGAGAGGAAAAAAAAAATTCTGTTTGTTCCAGTTCTTCTGGGTTTGGCAGAGATGGTCTGAAAACACAGCTTCAGAAGTGCAAGAAGAAAACTGATGCGTTCAGAGATTCAGTCCGAGTCTGACAGCACGATGATCTCGTCTGGGTCACACTGGGTCGCCACGTTAACCTGGAAACAAACAGATTCAGTCAGAAAATCCAGAATAAACATTATAAAATTATAAAATTTCACAGGAAATTTTATAAGATTTGGTCCAAATGGACCGAGTACGAGAAACCAATTAGATCCGACTTCACTTGATTGTTATTCTGAAATATGTCTCGCCCTCTTATGTCTTTGTGGTTTTTATTACTCGAGGTGGAGCAATCCCCATTACTGTTTAATTCTGTTCATTTTTTGTTATCTTTACAATTAAGTTAGTGATATTCTGTTAAAAATAGGCAACATGGACAAAATCACTCGGACTTTCTGCTTATATCTTCAGTTATAATCTTTAATGGATGAAGCTGTGATTACTGATGTGATGGAAATCTGTCTTTCTAAATAAAAAATAAAAAAATGTAATTAAAATTTCATAGGAGGATTTATTTCTCTTGTTTGTAAAACCTGGAATCATTTCCATTGGTACTGCCTGAAAGCTGATCTCTACAAACTGATCTTTTCTGGTTCTGATGAACGCAGATTTTTGGACATTTTCTCCTTTTTTTTTCTCTTACATCAGTTCAAACTCTGACATTAAAAACAGCCAACATTAAAGCATCTTTACTCTCTACTTGCTCTCTGAGAAACTGAGGATTTTTCTACTGTGACTTGTTTACAAAGAGACATCCACTGATCAGTTATTGTTTCTTATAATCAGTCTACCCACATCAGCAGAGCTCTTCTGTAAAATGACCTAATTATGTTCATGAGCCGATTGTTTAGCGATTCTCTAATTCATCGGCCTAAACAACTGAACCACCGAGGACTTAACTAATAAACTAAAAGAGAAATCCAAAAACCCAGAAGTCCTTGAATGACACATCTGAATCAAATTAGGATCTCTAAACTCCCAGTAAACATTATGAGCATCTTTCAGTTAAACATGTCTGACTTTTTATACTTTTTATTCTGCATCATAACAGCGATGAGAAAACCTCTGAATGTGAGCAGGTTTGAATTTGGGAAAATGGAAAAAGGAAAAGATTTAGAAATGTAAAAAAAAGGGAGCAGATAAATAAGAGGCCTAAAGAGGTGGGCTCACTAACGCATCACTTCTTAAAGGAATAGTACACCCAAAACATGATTAGCCTTCATTTTCTACTCACCCCCATGCTGAACAAAACTCTGGAGTACTTTTTTGATATCTCAAATGCATCTGGAGATCTGGGAGGCTTCTTGCTGTCTGCTGACATTCAAATAATGGAGGTCTATGGCGCCCGAGACAGAAAGGTCCACAAAAGTCCACAAAAACGTGTCAATATTCCTCCATACTGCTCGTCCAATGTAATCCAAGTGTCCTGAGTGGGTAGCATCCAGAATTTACTCGAAACGAAGTCATTTAGAATGTTTTTAGAGCCTAAACAGTAGTGTATAGGATTTCCTAATAGCGCCCCCATGCGCGCTCACGATTCTACGGAAGCCGGCAGACCAAACCGGAAGTCAGCGTCAGCGCATTCAGCTCGGCAAAGAACTCATGCTCTTCCTCAACACTGAAGTCCTCAGACATTTTTCTTTCGTTGTTTCTTTCTTTGCACAGGTAAACAGCACATTTCTTCTTCTACGCTTGCATTACTGGCAGAGCAGACGCTGACTTCCGGTTTGGTCTGCCGGCTTCCGTAGAATCGTGAGCGCGCATGGGGGCGCTATTAGGAAATCCTATACACTACTGTTTAGGCTCTAAAAACGTTCTAAATGACTTCGTTTCGAGTAAATTCTGGATGCTACCCACTCAGGACACTTGGATTACATTGGACGAGCAGTATGGAGGAATATTGACACGTTTTTGTGGACTTTTGTGGACCTTTCTGTCTCGGGCGCCATAGACCTCCATTATTTGAATGTCAGCAGACAGCAAGAAGCCTCCCAGATCTCCAGATGCATTTGAGATATCAAAAAAGTACTCCAGAGTTTTGTTCAGCATGGGGGTGAGTAGAAAATGAAGGCTAATCATGTTTTGGGTGTACTATTCCTTTAATGAGATTATAATCATTTAAAGTTGATCAGTTTACATATTTAGAAATAATGAATCCTAAATATAAATGATCTTCCAACATGTTTCTGTAAAGTCTGACCAGGGTAAATCAGTCTGCTGGCATTTAGTGCCTCCTTCAGTGACTCAGTAGCTGTTTATCAGCAGCAACAGAAGCAGTCAACAGTCTGGGTCGATAAACTGGCCTCTATGAGGTTCTAGCAACAGAAACTAAAGAGCAACAACAAACATGGCGGCTGTGAAACTGACAAAAATAACCAGAGGAGGGACGGCTGCTCTTTCTATTTTTATTCTGGTTCAAATTAACTGTTTATCCTTTTGTTTAATTTTGGTTTAATTTACACACAATCACACAAATGAATAATTCAGAGTGAAGAAGAACTTGTCTTAAAAAGCACGTTAGATTGTTCCGTCCATTTACTGGAAGGGAGAACGAGTAAAAACAGGAAGTAGATTCTGCGTCTGAACCACAACCAAACCCACAGGAAACGCTCCTCCTATTAGCATCTATCTGAGTCTGTTTAATTCAGGCAAAGGATCTGAGGAGTTTATCAAGTGATAATAATAAAAGGCTGTTTTGGTTCTCGCCTCATAAACGAACAGCTCTATAGTTGATTTTAGAACCTTCTGCCTGATTGGTTGGGCTGTTTCTGTACGGCTGCTTCCTGATCTGAATCTTCAGTTAATCGCTGCGTTCACATGGAAATAAATCACATTTAAACTTGTGAACCTAATTAAGTCATTTTTTCTTAAAATGAGTGCATTTTTTCTTGAATTAAGGATTGAAGTGAGGCACTCTGCCAATGGAACAAGACAATTTACACTTTAAACAAGAAAAAAACAATTGCATTGTCTTATTTCAAGTGCTTAATATCTAGATAGCGTATTTTAAGAGTAAAAATACTAATTCCATTGGCATTTACCTGCTCAAATTAAGGGTAAATGCACTTAATTTAAGACATTTTTACTTATTTTGAGATTGTTTTTGCAGTGTGCTGCTTTGTTTCCTAACCAAACAGCTCATTCTAGCAGCTCTATTTCTGCACCTTGTTCTTCTTGGGAGGCGGCGTGGACTCTAAGCTGATGATGGGGTTCTTGGTCGGCGTTTCGAAGACGGAGGATTCCATTTTTTCTGGAGAACTGCAGCAAATGACGCCCATGTCCAGAGAGATGTCTGCATCGCTGCTGAGGAGGATGAAGAGGAAACAGGAAATAATAAGGAATGAAAGAACAAAACATTCCAAGTTAAACTCATGTTAGAGTAAATCTGACATAATGTTTAGTTCTCGTCGGGTTGAGGAGCTTTAGATGAGCTCAAACGCCTACCTGTCAAAACTGATCTTCTGTTTTATATTTCTAGAGTTCGTTGACCTCGTTTCCTCCCTCTTCCTCTTCTGGCTCCTGGTGGTCCTCGGGCTGGGGGGCGGGGACGTCCCGTTGGTGGTCTGGGTGTCACTTTGACCCACTGTGACGGTTTTCTGCTCTGGGGAAGGATTCCCATTGGTGGAAGCTGATGGGTTGACCTCCGTAGCTTTTTCTTTGACCTTTACAAGAACAACGGACAGCTGACTGGAGGAGGTGACGGACTGCTGCGAAGCTGCTGGGCTCCCATTGGTCGACGGTTGCGGCTCGTTGGTCTGCATGGCCTCCGATTGGCTGGGGCTGTCTCTTGGGGAGGGGATGTCGGTCATGGGGGAGATCTGGGTCTCATCGGAGTCAGGATCACCTTCATCCTTCAGGTCTTCTTCATCAGCTGCAGCGACACTTTCTGACTGATCGTACGTCTGGTCCTCCTTGTTGTCGACATCATCGCAGCCTTCGTCCGCCTCGTTATCGTTGTCATCCTCGTTATCGTCATCATCATCTACAGAGAAGCATTTCGAAATGATAAACACCTTTTAGAGCTTCAAACTTTTTCTCTTTACTACCAGAAGCTCTGAGGCGCTTTATGTGACAGACCAACAGGAAGAAGGAAATCTGGCTAATGTGTAAAAAAAAAACCTGAACTCTGACAGCCCTAAAGTCAAAACAAACCAAACATCTGAAGCCAGATGTCACCTTATTACCAAATAAAATCCAGATGTTTTTCATTTAGTGCAGCTTTTCTGCTTCTGGCCTCAGAGGTTTGATAGAGACATCAGAGAAGCAGCAAAGAGCCAAAGATCCACGGCTCAGTTTGGATCTTCTTCCTTTCTATATATTCTAATGGTTGGAAGAAGCAGAAGCTATCGTTGAAATAAAGTTATTAGAGGCAGTTAGCAGTGGGCCGTACTGCTTCCCTTGTAAAGGGCTGAACGGAGGGCAGTTGAATGCATCACCTCAGCAGGAAGACATTTTGGTTACATTTCGTCATCAGAAGAAACAGAGACACTGGTTAGAATCGGAGGGAAATATCCTGGAAGAAAAGCAGAGTAGCTGCAGGCTGGAGCCTGATGATCTCCGTCTATCCAACCATCAACCCTGAACATACAGGCAGAGCTACATGGAACGGTTTAGATTGATTCAATTCAATTCAGTTTATTTATATAGCACCAATTCACAACACGTCATCTCAAGGCACTTTACTGTTCAACCAGAACCAGAAGTTTTCTATCCAAGGAAAACCAGTTAATTGCATCGACTCATTGACTAGAAGGCAATCCCTCACACTAAGCATGCTTGTAGCGACAGTGGAGAGGAAAAACTCCTTTTTAACAGGAAGAAACCTCCAGTAGAACCAGGCTCAGTGTGAGCGGCCATCTGTTGAGGCCGACTGGGGTTCAAGGATTAAAGGATAGTGATGTGCTAGAATGGCCTAGTCAAAGGCCACGAAAACCAGAATTTTTAATTTTTCTAGACGTCCTTCATCCAACATGAGGAAATCTGGAGCTTTTTATTTTTATTTTTCTCTCACTACACAGTTAGTCTCCTTGTGTTGTTCCCATAAAACCAGATGAAATGTTGGAGGAAATATTGTATAAATATTTCTCCCAAAGTGTAGTCAGAAAAACCTATTTCCTGTATGATTCCTTCATTATATTTTATTTACTTTAACATTTTTCACTCAGGCCTTAAAGCTGCAAGGGTATACAGTGTCTGGGTGAGAGGAGTCATTTTTTTTGTTTGTTTGTTTTTTGTTTTTTTTAGGGATTATTCAGAACACAATTGTTCCCCTCACAGGTGGGACTCTTTCCCATGAATGATTCAACATTTTACTCTTTTCTCTTATTGTCTAATGTTTGGATTAACTGCATGTGGAAACCTTCACAGCTTTTCTTCATGTTTTAAGTCAATGGAAGAAACTTTGTCTAGATGAGAACAGAGCAGAGCATCGAGCAGCTGCGTTATTATTGTCCTGTCTCTCATCTTAGTAAAGATAAAGATCCAACTGAGTGAATTACCATCGATCTCCTTTGTTTATCTGGATTACATAGATAAATACTTCTTACCAACGACAAAAGCTAAGTAAAATAAATATTCCTGCGAGGAAAAACAGGTTTGACCGTCCTTTCTAAAGTCCTGCTGGTTGTGAAACTATGTTGGTTGATATATTTGTCTTTAAACACAGATCTATAGATCTAGAACCAGCTTTTAGAAACCAGCTCAGACGCCTAAAGACATGGAAACTATCTACTTTACTACTTTATGCATCTTTGCATCAAGCTAAAAAGTTAATAAACTAAGCTTTCATGCAGCCAAAGCTGGATTTAGAGAAAATCATTCATTTTAGACTAATGCATTAAAACAATTAATGTAAAAGTCAATTGGTTGCTCACATCTGTTTTATTTTAAACCTCTTTATGTCTTATTTTCTCTGAATGAAGGAAACTGCTGGATCCAATCTTTGCATCATCGCTTTGATCTTTAGGATCAAAATGAAAAATTATTAAGATAATTTTTCCATTCGTCTCTCTGCGCTTTTTAAACCCTGATATTAAATATCTGAAATGCTAAGGCTAATGTTTTCCACGGCTTATTTAGTCAAGACATTATGGAGTCAGGATAAAAGTTAATCATCTTCATTATGGAAGAAACAAATGTTTGGAAATGAAATGGCAACAAACTGAGAAAATACCCTTTATGATTGTCCTTGATCTTAGAATGCTGTTTATCATCTGGATTAGGCTGGAGCCACTGAGGTCTCATCATTTAAACACAACATGTGTGATGTGGTGATTTGGCAGTTGTGACCCTACAGATCTATATAAAGCTTCTTTTAACTGTCATTCTGGGCCCTTCCTCAGGAAGTGAGCCAAGTAGGCCTATTATATGTAACCCAGGGTTCCTACAGCATAAGGAAAGTTAAATTCAAGACTTTTTAAGACTTTTTAATGCCACTTGAAATAAAAATTCAAAACCAAATTCACAAGAAACACAAGAAAAACCTGCTTGCGACAACTTAACCCAAAGGTTTATTCTAACATAAACCACTGCACTAATGTTTCAGATTTTGAAAAGCTTCCCATACAGGAAGAAAGCTAAAAACACACAAATGACAGATATATTTTAACAATTATTTAACTGAATTCACAAACTTTGTTTTAGCAGGGAACAAAACAAATCAGTTTTAAAGCCACAACATAACCAGTGCATTTTTTTAATAAAAAGAAAAACAAAATTGTCAATTTTAATGCTTTACTTAGATTACAAAAATAAATCGTAACAAAAATAATCCTATTTATTGGTGTTTTAAAAAATAAGACCAACGAAAAACTGATTTAAGACATTTTAATACCAATTAAGGCCTTAGTTTTATTTTGAAGAATTCAATGCCTTTTAAGACTTTTTAAGGACCCGTGGGAACCCTGATAACCTGAACCATTTTCTCTGATTTAATTTTGTTAAACCTCCTATCATTCCAAAAAAGTAAAAAAAAACATTCCACTGGACTTTGTGTCAAAGTTTGAAGACGTTTCACTTCCCATCCAGGAAGATTTTTCAATTCAAAATATCAGAAATAGTAAAATAAAACCTTGTTTCTGCTTAGAGAACATGCAAATTAAACAGTATGAAATGGTTTGCCCCTTTTCAATGGGTGTCTTTTTGGTTTCTTTGTTAGCCTGCAACACCCCATACCTGTCCATGTCTCTGAAAAGGAGTCTTAAAGGGAATTGTTGGCCTGGCTAAACAGGCGAGGTTTTCTGTTCCCCTGTTAAACTTGCCATCATGTTTTATGGTCATTAAATGTACATATCCCAGGACCGAATCAGGGAGACAAAGCTCCAAGGTGTGACCACAGCAGCTTTCTTTAATACATAAAGATATTAAGGAGTTTCAAGGGCCTTTATAAAAATAAAAGAGCCCCCCAGTCTGACCTGCGCCGTCATGCTGAGTGCTGGCCACGATCTCTTCCTCTATGTCTGGGTCCGATGACTCATCCTCTTCATCATCTTCCTCTTCTTCCTCATCCTCCTCCTCATTCCGAGACGCTCCACCGGCCTGCTTGGCCTTGGCTTCATCTTCTAATTTCTGATTCTGGGAATAAAGAAAGTAATCAAAGCTCTGCTGTGGTTTAAATTGAAGAAAAAAATATATAAACCTAAACTTTTAACAATAGTTTAAAGAAACAACATTGAACTACTGAGCCGGTCTGATCTTTCACCTCCTTGTCTTTCTCCATCCTCCGCTGCCTCTCCTGCTCCTCGGTGTCGTCCTGTTTGACGGCGTATTTGGTGATGACCTCATCCAGACGGGATAAAGCCACTTCTCTGTTGGAGCGCAGCTTCCTCATCAGAGAGGGGTCCGACAGAGCCGGGTCGGTCGCTACAGACGGCGAGGATGAGAGAAGAACAGGTAGAAAGGAGACACTGTTAAAACAGGAACATATAGAATCACTAACAGGCCTCTATATGCAGGAACACGGAATAAGAAAATAAACAGGAAAAGCTTTTATCAAGAGAACAGCAAATGTTTAGGAGTTAACTGAATCTTCTTTACTATAACTATAGATATATCTGTAACTATAGATATATCTATATATCTATATATCTATATATCTATATATATATATATATATAGATATATAGATATATACACACACCTTTTTCTCATTTTGACACATTTCTTTTTGACTATTTGAGGCGATGTAACTCCACTGTGAGATCAATAAGTCAATCAATCAATAATTCTTAATTTCTTTTTCTTAAATTATTTACTTATTTTTAAGTGTTATTTAACCAGGAAAAAATGAAATAAAAATTTCAGAAAAAGAAATGAAGAATTATTGATTGATGATTGACTTTATTGATCTCACAGTGGAGAAATGTACTCGTTACGTCGCCTCAAATAGTCGAAAAAAATCTAATTATAGAAAAGTGATTAAAAAGAAAAAGCAAGAAAATATCATTTTCTTTCTTAATTCCTTTGCAACATAAAGACCAACTGCTGCCCTGAAGTCTCACCGGGTTTATATGTGTCTGTGAGGCGCGAGCCGAAGTTGTAGACCAGATCTAGGTGGCGCCGCTCCTGCAGGCGGCTCCCGGTCTCTCTGAAGGCTTCGGCTGCGATCTGGTTCAGCTGCTTTCTGCTCAGACACAGGTTGTGGCGCTCGTTGACGCGGATCACCTGCTGCAGGATGTCGTGGTAATCTGGAGGATTCCTGTGAGCCTCGGGACTGTTGATGAAACGCTCAATCTGTGCAGCAGAGGAACAGGGACGTGGACAGAGATTAATATAGACTGTTCAAACTGTTTATGTTGGATTATAATCCAGATACTTTCCATGATTCCTAATGATAAAATCTTCTCACCTTCTTGTTGATTTCTGGGTAGCGGGTCCCTGAGTAAGTGATCCTCTGTTCGATCACTCTGCCTGTTAGCGTGTCGCAGCCTTTCAGTTCACAAAGCTTTTCATAGATCTTCATCATCTAGAGAGAAGAAGAAGTTACTGTATTTTTATTTCTTCTTTAAATTGGAGCAGCATCTGTGTCTATAACTCTACAGACCTTCCGCTTCAGTTTGTGCTCCTGGATGTACGTCGAGTCTTCAGTCTCCATGTCGTCTAAGCTGAGCTCCGCCTGCTGCAGTCGGTAGATCTCATCGTTGTAGAGCTTCAACAGGTTCTCTAGATAAGCAATCTGAAATCCAGAACACAGGAATCGTCAGTTGGGTTATTTCTGAATTTCCTTTGAATCTCTTTAGTTCAGTTTTCCTAAGAAGACACTTTATAAAACGAACTCACCTGTTTCTTTAAAGACCTCCTGGCCTTCTTGTCGGTCTCTTGATTTTCCTCTCCAGCTTCTCCCTTTTCTCCTGAAGAGGAAGGCTGGTCTTCCTCTTCTGGTTTCACTTCCTCATCCTCCTCACCTGCCTTACCTTTTACCTTGTCTTTGCTTTTCAGCGTTGTAGAGGTAGACTGATGAGAACCCTGTTCTGCTGCGGCGGGCTCCACCTTGGTGAGGGCCTGCCTCTTCTTGAGCGCGTGCTGCTGCAGCACAGTGCACAGTTCTTTAATGTAGACGAAGGTTTTGGATTTGCTGGCCTGAGCTCGAGTCAGACAGTGTCCCAGCGTGTTCCTGAACTCCACGGAGCACAGGTAGTCGGGGCAGGCCTTCCCATGTTTGGTTTGGAGGAACGTCAGAACCTCCGGGCAGTCCTTCGTGAGGGGCGTGCAGTGCTGCACAAACTGAAGCCAGAAAGAAGAAGCACGAAGAATTTACTTTGTTCTAAAGCTTGTTTATCAAAATTCAAGTATTTTAAAGAGAAATCCTCTGAATGAAACAGCTACATTTTCTGTTTTCCATTTACACATCAGAGCAAGGCTCTCTGTGTTATAAATAAGGCTTAATGATTAATTGCATTTGCTATATTATTGCGACATAAAACAAGATTTTCTAACCGCAAAGGCCGTGATTTGAAGGGTCACGTAATGGGGTTGAGGAGCACGGAGGGAAAATCAATCCTCGCCTGTGCAGAACTTGTTGAACAATGTCCTCAGGGTGGACAAAAACTGACAAAACTGAAAATCTGGTACCAAAGAGCAGCATTACGTCACCTGTATGGAATTATTTGGGGTTTAAAAACAGACGACGCTGCACAGCGTCAGAAGTTGTGCAGGAGATACCTTTCTTATTTTGCTACGTCACTAGGTGTCATGACAAACCTTTTTCAACACTTAAAAAAAAACCACAAATCCGTGTATCATAGTTGCATGACTAGAATAAGAACTACCAGTGCCTCAACATCAAGTGAGCAGAGTATTAGCTGACAGGGATCATAGACCGAACTGTTTGAAAGCGTTACTCTTTATGAAAATTATTTTAAACTGCACGATCAAATAACTCGGGCAATAATGGAGTTTATAGCTAAAGACTTGATACCTGTTAGTATAGCGACCATGCCTGGATTTACGGCTTTGGTAAACACGATGGATAGGAGATATTTAATGACTTTACGCACATATATACGCCAAGTCGCCATACCTGAGCTATACAAAAATGCAGAAAAAAAGTTGCAGCGGCGCTAAAAGGAGAGGAGTTTTTGCAAAAACTACTAATTTGTGGTCAAGCTGTACAGCGTAGCCAAACCAGAGCCCAATACAATATATTGACGAAGACTGAGTGAAGATATTATTTACTTTATTCTTCAAAAAGATTTTCTTTTTTAGGAATTAAAAAAGTTTATATGCCTGTTCATTTTGTATTTATTTAAAAGTTTGATTTACTTACAGAAACTTCAACTGGTTGAAAGAAGACTTTGTTCTCTATGCTTTCACAATCTGCATTGACAGTAATCTTATTTTTTATTCATTTGACAGTTTGATTTAAGTACAGAAATGTCAACTGGTTGAAGGAAGACTTTGTTCTCTATGCTTTCACAATCTGCATTGACAGTAATCTTATTTTTTATTATACCAAAGCACAAATATATGAATCCCGCCTTTATTCAATTGTTTATTTATGACAATTAACATCTGAATCTGGATCACCAGTTAAATTAAATCCAGCAGGTGAACTATGGGAACCAGGGTTTAGTTTACATCAGTAATCTAAAGGTCGTTCTTATTTTGACATCAACACCAGGAGTGTTTGAATGTTTAGAAACAACATGTATGTACATGACCAAGCAGAAAGGTTTATGACACAGAGATATTCTGCTCTAAGGGTCTGGCCTTCCAGAACCTTTATTTTGAAAATTGAAACGCCATAGAAAAGACAAAAACAGATTCATTTTATTGTTGTCTCACCTCGTCGAACAGCTTCTGGTTTTCGATCTGCAGAGCGTTTGTGTTCTTCTTGGCAGAGGAAAAAGGTGATTGGGTGATGTGGGTCGACACCCGGTGCTGATTCTTAGGTGACGAACGTCCTTTAGCCTGATGCTTAGAGGATGAGGGGGTAGCAGCAGAAGATGAAGGCTGAGGTCTCGCTTCTTCAACATTATCGTCATCATCAAGGACTATGATCTGATCGGCCAAAGAGGCGGGAGCCACCGCCATCTGAGTTCTGAACGGTTCTATTTATGGAAAAGGAAAGAAGGCACAAAATATAGTGTAGTTTAGAAATCATCAATAAGTGGCTTAAAAAACATTCAGAGATCTAGAGGTGGATAGAACAACATTTAAGCTGTTTATTTGATAAAAGAGGGCAGCAATGGGATACACAAAATTCGTTGTGCAATAAGATACTGGCACCCCATCAAGACTTCTGACTACAGGCTATAAATAACCAAAACCTGTAAGAACTAACATGGGTAATCGACTCTAGCAGGAGGAAAAAAAAAATGAGTCTGTATGTTTTTTGGTGTTTAAAGGTAGAAGATTATCGGCTGTTTTTCCCTGATAAAAAGTATGTATAAACATTCAACTAAAATAAAAGTTTGATTAAATTTGATCTGACTGTGAAGAGGGTCGAACATTTATAAAAGATCTACTGTAGAAGATTTTGTGACCAAGTCTAAAAGCTTTTTAACAGGAATCAAAATTTGGGGATTCTTGATGGCAACATTTGACAGATTTTAGTGTTTCCTGTGAGACACATAATCTACTCAGAATTTAAGCTTTTAAAACATAAATGACTGAAAATGTTTTGTCATTGTCTCCTTTCTATCTCCTCTTTCTTTCATCTTTTCTCTTTTTTCCTCTTTTTTCCTTTTTCTTCTTCTGTTTTTCTGCTCTGTTTACATTGCAGTGTCCATATAAACTGTATAAACTCCCTGCATAATTATAATAAAGAAATTTATATGCATGAAACAAGTGGAGCAATATGGCAATTGCCATACCGCTACACTTGTGAAAGTAAAATCTGTTGGGCTCTTTTAGGCATCAAGACAATTATTCTTATTGCCACAAAAAAAAAACAAAAAAAAAAACATAAATGTTAATATAATTTAAATTAAAGCCTTCAAAAAATGTCTTAATTTTTTATTATTTTTTTATCAATAAATATTGTTTAGAATTAAATTACCTTGGTCTTGTGAAAATTTTGCAGACATATCTAATAAATTGGAAAAAAAAAGAGCTATTCCTCATTTTCTATTTGGTTCAGATGACCAACTCTATCAAATAACCTGCAGCTTAATGAGAGCAAATAAAATGTGTAATAAATAAAACAGTTTAACATATAGAAACACAACAACTAAATATAAATACATTTGAACTTACAAGCAACTGATATGCATTAATTTATGAGGACCAACTTAAATATTTTCAGAGGTGGTGAACATAGAGTATTTGCACGAATAATGGTGCACCTGATGAGCCCATATAATTAGTCTAAACAGACATTTAAACTGCCAACTCCATCTAACACATGACTACAGGATAAAATAAAAGGTTGACTCCAAATTGGAGGCTTTACAACATTTTAAGTCAACCTGAAGAAAAGCGGATTCTGCTGCCTAACAATAATAAACATTTTCAGTAGAACTAAAGTAATACATCCAGGGGAAATTTAATTAAACAGACGGTTTCTAAACATTAAGAGACAGCGAGACAATAAAAAACTTAAGTGAGAAGTGAAATTGGTTGAAGATCCAAAGCAATATTTACCACTTTTTAAACCCAGTTTAGGATATATTAGAATGTACTCACCACTTATTTATGAGCTGTTTGAGCTGAAAACAAAAACAGAAAGCGATTCACAGTAGGGCATGGCAATTCCTATGGTTAGCTCATGTTAGCATTAGCAGCTAGCTAGCATTTTAACATTTACTAACAAAGATAAGGCTACAACATATAAAAATGTGTTAATGTTTGTGTATCGTATGATAAACTAATGAAAATGATCAAATATTGTATTAAAACCTCGTCAGAACTACTATTTCAACGCACAGGGCTTGAAAACTTAGCTATGTTGTCAAAGGAAGACCCGCTAAACTACGATAAGCATCAAAGAATCTGATTGGTGGAGCAACAGTTGATGGTGAGTGAAACGGCTCGCTATTGGACGATAGAATGAAAGCGCGTTTTCTTTGAGTTCTATTTGTGGGTCTCATTTCGACTTAAGAATAATTTACTGACACCTAGTGGACAAAGTTATAAGAAGGAAGCTGTTTGTGATATCGGTAAAATAAAGTTGAACTTTGAAAAAAACAACAACAAAAACCTGTTTTTTCAACAGAGGTGACTAAAACGCAACAACTTTAGCACATTTTTCCTAGGAAAAATATTTGTATATTAATAATCTGAGAAATTGATACAAATGAATTTAATTCAGTTTATTTATATAGCACCAATTCATAAAACATGTAATCTCAAGGCGCTTTATAGAGACAATTTAACTAGATCATACAGACAAATTAATTAAAAAATTTCTATATATGGAAAACTAGCTGATTGCATCAAATTATCGATTTGAAGGCAACCCTTCACAAATTACTCGGATTTAACATTTGGTTTAATGTCACATCAGGTTCAGCAGAAAAAAAACAAACAAGCTATAATTGTTCATTCATCTAACACTGCAATAGACCCATAGAGTCTAAGGTGAATGATTTTGATTTAGTCGTTCCTAATTTTTTGAGAATTTTAGACTAATTTTACAGTCATTTGTGGGGGAGTGGGGGCCTAGTGGTTTGGGCATTGCGCTTGGGTCCAGAGGTTCTGAGTTCAAGCCACACTCCCACAGACTGGGTCCTTGAGCAAGACCCTTAACCCCACATTGCCCCACAATGGCAGTCCACTGCTCCCCAAGGGGATGGGTTATATACAGATAATGAATTTCATTGCTTTGTAATGACAATAAAGTTGAATATCTTGGACATGTTTACTTTAACTTCCACTCCTGGGAGGATTGTCTCCTGTCATCAATGTTTTCCAGCTGGGAATAATCTCTCTATCTGTAGAATGATGGATGTTAAATAGTTTAGAAATGAACATGTACCATTTCCTGGACTGATGGGTAGCAACAGCACCTTAATTATAGTCATTACTGATGTCTTTTTATCTTGCAGCATTAAGTTCTCACTATGGTAAAACATTTAATCTCCATATAATGGTAAAAAAAAAACTTAAGTTGCAGCATAATTTCTTCCTGTTTATTTATTCTTTCATTGCAAAGTTTACTTTAAATTTGATAAACTTTTCATTTTCTTTTAAATAATTATTCACAAAATGACAAATTGGTAATTCTATCTTTACAGTTATGGTCTGCAAATAAGAATGTCCATTTGTCTTAAAAGTAAAAGATTAATAGAGGAACCTCGATCATATATGATTCATCTAATCTTTAAAGATTCAACTGACCAGGACAAGAAAAAAATAAACAGGTGATGTTTTAAGAAACATGTTTATTTTAGAGAAAATACAGAAATGAAAAACTTTCTTTTAGATTCACTCTCTAAAACATTTCTTCATGTTTCTATAAAAAGAACAAGAAGTTTCACTCAGTCTTTAAGAGCATCACAATTTCCAACAAAAAGCAAAAACAAAGACATTCAACAAGACAAACTTTTTCACCCGACAAAGCTTCCATTATTCTAAATTACTTTAATGATTGCTTCCCTTTCCCGGTGTTTGCAATAAACCCTCAAAAAAAAGAGACAATATTGACACAAATATATACATATCCAACATGAAAAGCTTTCCTAATAAAATTTTTTTTTCTGAAAACATAAAAACAGTGAATTCTGCAGAGATTTCTGACCAGGCAGTAAAACAGTGAAAGGATGATCTGGGTGAAGAGGTGGAGCTGCTCCTAAAATCCCACTGAAGGTAAGAAAAGTCATTAACATCCGTCGACTTCTTCATCTTTACTTTTCTTTCTGTAATCAGGGGAAAAAAACAGGATCACATTAAAACAACAGACATTAACAGACATGTGAAGAAATATGTATTTTATAAAATGTGAATTTTCGCACCTTATCTCCTTCATCAGCTTTATTTGAGCCTGAAAGCAGAAAAATAAACAAAAATCACAAGAGTCTAAAAGTTTAAATAAGGCTTAAATTGTAAAAAAATAAAATAAAAAATGTATGTGTCCGAATATCTGAACCCTGATGAACCTTTACCTGATCCAGTAAAGGTCCATGACACAAACTTGATGAATCCATAGAGAACCAGCGCCACGCCGACCATCGCCATGGAGTCCTCGATGGAGGGACTGCTGAACCCTGAGAGAAAGAAAAAAAAATCAATTTAAATTCAATTGATTTTTAAATAGCTGAAGTTCTGATATAGAACAAGAAATATTTATTTTTCTGTGTGTTAGTTGTTTTTTATAAAAGAGCTTCAAACAAACTTTAGAAAACAACACAACAGATCCCAGACTTTCATTATGAACCCAGAACTTAGAGATGTTGAGCTAAAAGAAAAACTTTTACTATCATTAACCGTTCTGTTTGTTACATCTATGGAAGTGAGACAAGATGAGGAGATTTCCTTAAAACATGTTTTAATTCATACATTTTTTTGCAGCAGTATTTCTGCATATCATCACTAGGGTCCCATCACAGCATTCCAATGAAGCAGAGGACTGGACTTTGACTAGGCCACTGCAGAACTGTAGTTCCTTTTATCTCTAGTGTTTTTTTTTTTTTTTTTTTTTATATTTTGTACCGTTGTCAAACCTGATGAACCAGTTTAGCCAAATTCTTCATCTGTTTGACTGATGGCCTTTGATACAAAAAAGGCGTTCATGATCAAAACCATGACAATAATATGTCCAGATCCCCCGGCTGCACAGCAGCCACCACCGTGCTTCATAGCTGGTCAGAGCTGTTGGCGCTGACATGCTGCGTTCCTCTCAATTATTGTTCATCCCTTCTGATGGTCTAGTAGTGAACGTCTTTCAGTTCCTTCAGATGCAGCTTTAAAAACAGAGCTTCTGCCGCCATCTTATTTATTTCCTTCCATCCTTCCAAACCCTCCATATTGGTTCAGTCTTTCTCCGATTCTCCTGTCATGAATTTTACTGTTTGTCTTTTGGAGCTTTGGAAGAATTAGCTGAGATATTAATTATTTATTGGAAGTTTTGTTCTGAGCTCTTTATCTTCATTGCTACAAAAAGATCTAGAAATAATTAAAACATTTCTTAAATTAATTATATTTACGCTTAATTTGAGCAGGTAAATAAGATGATTTGCGAATGGAATTAGAGCATTTACTCTTAAATTAGATACATCGATAATATGCACTTGAAATAATACAATTTAATCATTTTTTTCTTATTTTAAATATAAATTCTCTTGTTCCACTGGCAAAGTGTTTAACTTAACTCCTCAATTAAAGACAATATGAGATTATTTGAAGAAAAAATGACTTATTTAGATTAAAATTTTTGCAGTGTAAAAACATTTTAAAGAACAGAAATATCTGTTATTAACACATAAAAGGAGATTGAAAAGTTCAAATATCTTTTGACCATGACTCTAAAGTGAAAGTTCTAATCTCTGTTAATAAAGAGAAGGAAACCGTCTTAATCCGATCCAGTCATTCAGTAAGGATTTCCATAGTTACCGATAACGTTGAGGGTCACGCTGGCCCGCCGCGTTCCTCCTTCATGAACGGCCACACAGCTGAGCTCTCCTCCTCGGCCCAGGTCCAGTTTGGACGTGTCCAGCACCAGCCGGCTGCTCTGGCTGAAGGTGCCGTCCCAGGCCTGTCTGTGACCCGACATGCTGCCGGACCCCAGAGATATGGACCGACCGTCAGAACCTTTAAACTCCCAGCTCAGCTCCAGAGGGAGCGGGGAGAAGCCTGAACCTTCACACTGGACGTTTATGGTCTGACCCGGGACAGCGAGGGGCAGAGCAGACGGGTGGATGGAGAGAGATGGAGGTTCTGATGGAGAGGAGAGAAATCAGGTCATTAATGAAAGAGTTTTAGATTGTTTCCAATTAAGCTGAATGTTTTTTCAGTACCGATAATCTCCAGCTCCATGGCGATCTGGGCCAGCAGGTAGGGCAGGTAGACGGTGCAGATGTACGTCCCAGTGTGCCGGACCTTCGCCTCCTCCAGAAACAGGGAGGCGTTTCCTCTCTCATGCAGAGCCTCGAAGTCCAGAGTGGCTCCCACCTCATGAGTGTCGGCCAGACGGTCCGTCTTCCCGTCGTAAGCCAGAACCAGCCGGCCGTCGCCTCGGGTCTGGTACCGCCACTCCACCGCAAAACCCGACGAGGACAGCGGAGTGGACTGGTCCACCCAGAAGTTGCAGTCCAGAGTGACCGGTTCTCCCAGTCTGGACTTGGCAGACATGGTTTTACTGGTGATACTCAGGATCACTGAGGAGACAGGAACCCAGAATCAATCAGACAGAACAGAGTGTAGAACCTTTAGCTCCCTCCTTCTGATGAGGTGACCCGGTACCGTCGTGTTCTTTGGTTCCGGTTGGAGCCCGTGAGATGGTGGAAACGCCGATCGCCTCATCGAGGCCCTGGAAGGAAGCTGAGAACCAATCGGCCTGCAGATAAATGGGGCTGAGGGCTGATTCTGTCAGGGAGGCGACCCACTTCAGGCTGGACGGCTGCGGCAGGAAGGGGTTGATCTCACACTGGGGCTTCCTGATGGAGCCTCTGGGGGGGTTCATGGAGGGGTGGCAGAGGGCGGCCGACGGGTCTGAGGAAGGAGGAGACGGAGCGTTAACGGGTGGAAAAATGGTCCAAAGGAAACCAGGGGGAAGAGGGAAAAAAGTTTAAACTTCATAAGATGTAAAAAAAAAAAAAAAAAAAAACAGCTAAATATTTAGTTGGGATTTTATGCGACAGAAAATAAATATTAGAGCAGAAGTAAGAAGAGAAAGAAAATGGAACTTTAGAAAGTTTTGTAGTTTAATACATAATCAAATTTTCTGAGTCAATTATTTTTAAGGATCAGATTTTACTGTAAATAGATTTTATTTTTTATTTTTTATTTTTGGGTATTTTTCTCCCTATTTTCTGATCAAGACAAAAACTTTAATCCAATCATTTTTTCTAAACAGCTGAATTTTCATTTGAATTGATGAATAGCATTTAAAAAACAGTTTTCCTTTGGATCTGGATCTTTCCTGTGTCACTCTAACATATCTCTCTGGATCTCTGGTCGTTGTCCTGGAAACATGAACTTCCAGCTCAGCCTCCAACCTTCTGCAGCCTCTAATCAGCTTCCTCTGATGAAGGAGGAATGATGCTGCCACCACCATGCCTCATAGAGGGGATGATTATAATTATAAACTCCTAGTTTGGACCAAATAACCTTCTTACATTTGTGTCTGCTGTCTCTCCTACATGGCTTATTATAATCTACTAACAGGATGGCGTCTTTTTAACAAAGCTAGATTAGATTTTAGGTTAGATTTTAGGAGGAGCCGAATGACATAACAAAAGGGCCACAAGTTTATAAAACTCCTTTAATATAATAATTTATAACGTATTAAATATTTGTTGTAAAAACAAAATACATAAAATACATCAAACCCCAAATGTCAGTAACAAATTATGTAATCAAGGCCTGTAATGTATTGAAATAACAGAAACGTCACATCATTGTTATTTAATAGAAAGATATTGGAACAGATCTGGAAACTGAATTATTGTCCAGGTCTAATTTTAGGTGTAAATAATTCTTGTTTCCTGTTAAGGGAATCTTCCACCAGAGCAGTGGTGAGATAATAATTAATGCACTAATGGTCCTAGTAAAACCAGGAGCAGAAGGAGCCTCATAACTTTGGCTTCATCTCTGATTAATGTTGTCCTTCCTAAACCAGTCAGTATAAATGGATGCACATATATTATAAGGTCTGCATTGGTCCATCCTCCTCCTATGTTTAGATGATTCAACAGCTTAAAGCTCTATTAGATGCAGGAGGCAGCTGGTTTTATTTAGGGACCTCAGAGTAGAGGCGGTGACATGTGTGAAAACTACATTTCTGTTTGACCGACTGGTTTGTTTGTGTCTGTTTAATGACATCCAGGAATAATAACTCTACAGGGTAGCAGCATCTATCATCTTTGCAGGAATATTTTGATCTTTTCCTAAAGTTTTTGGCAAATAAATATTCTTATTTATGCAAACAGCCCAATCAGAGATAATAGAAACCAGACGCTAACTTCAGCTGCACATGTTGCTCTGATCCATGTTGGACTAACCTGTTATGACATAAACTCTGTTGGGGTTGATGTCAGATGGAGCTCGCTGGGTTTCTGCAGTCTGACTCTGGGAGTCTGTCCGGATGTAAAGCAGAGATTTCTCCTGGGTCGTGGCTCCTGTTAGACCTCCTCCTCTGCCTGGCTTCTCCTGGACGAACCAGCACTCCATCACAGGGCAGGAGGAGCTGCAGGCTGCAGACAACAGATTTAAGGAAATTACTTTACAAGATTCAGGGCAGAAAAATGATCCAAGTATAGATAGTGTACATACTAGTTCAAAGGGTTTCAATTATGTTTTTATATCTATTTAATTTGCCTGATAAATATTAACTATTGAAATATTTCAGGTAACAGAAAAAGTTTATTTCTAAGTATTTCTAAGTATCAGCCTGAAGTAAAATAAATATTATAAAACAAGGAACAACTGTCTATAATGAAAAATACACTTAAGTTTCACAATAGTCTGGGTGACTCTAATGTCATGGTCAACATTAGATCACATCATAGGAGACATGAGAAAGTTTCCCAGTTGAACTAGATAAATAATAACCAGATAAGGTTTGTCTTTGTGTTGGACTTCTGTCAATGAGAACTGAAAACTGAATCAATAAAATATTAGTTTAAAGCTGTGTGAAGAAAGGCAGTTGCTAAATAATCACATCTGATTATTTTATATAGTCTATTTTAAATCCAATACTATTTAACATGCATTTTCATGATTAGTAAACTAGTACGAATTTTACAGTAAAAATATTTGGTGAAATAAAATTGTTTTGGTTTGAAAAAAACAAAAAAACATTGTCTTAATCAGTAAACAGAAAAATTAGTCAATAATTATCATTCATATCATTGGTAGTGAAAGCTACTGTAATAAGAGCTGACCTTTAAAGACCTTTAAAGGAATAGTACACCCAAAACATGATTAGCCTTCATTTTCTACTCACCCCCATGCTGAACAACACTCTGGAGTACTTTTTTGATATCTCAAATGCATCTGGAGATCTGGGAGGCTTCTTGTTGTCTGCTGACATTCAAATAATGGAGGTCCATGGCGCCCGAGACAGAAAGGTCCATAAAAGTCCACAAAAACGTGTCAATATTCCTCCATACTGCTCGTCCAATGTAATCCAAGTGTCCTGAGTGGGTAGCATCCAGAATTTACTCGAAACGAAGTCATTTAGAATGTTTTTAGAGCATAAACAGTAGTGTATAGGATTTCCTAATAGCGCCCCCATGCGCGCTCACGATTCTACGGAAGCCGGCAGACCAAACCGGAAGAAAGTGCGCATTCAGCGTCTGGTCTGCCGATAATGCAAGCGTAGAAGAAGAAATGTGCTGTTTACCTGTGCAAAGAAAGAAACAACGAAAGAAAAATGTCTGAGGACTTCAGTGTTGAGGAAGAGCATGAGTTCTTTGCCGAGCTGAATGCGCTGGTTTGGTCTGCCGGCTTCCGTAGAATCGCGAGCGCGCATGGGGGCGCTATTAGGTAATCCTATACACTACTGTTTATGCTCTAAAAACATTCTAAATGACTTCGTTTCGAGTAAATTCTGGATGCTACCCACTCAGGACACTTGGATTACATTGGACGAGCAGTATGGAGGAATATTGACACGTTTTTGTGGACTTTTATGGACCTTTCTGTCTCGGGCGCCATGGACCTCCATTATTTGAATGTCAGCAGACAGCAAGAAGCCTCCCAGATCTCCAGATGCATTTGAGATATCAAAAAAGTACTCCAGAGTGTTGTTCAGCATGGAGGTGAGTAGAAAATGAAGGCTAATCATGTTTTGGGTGTACTATTCCTTTAATAAGAAAAGTAAATGTCCTGTTGAGACCAAAAGCGTTTAATCGTTTCCAAATCATGGTCAATAAGCTTTATTACAGTTAAAATGATTTTGTTGTACAATTATGAATTAATATCCTTTAGTTAACTGTTTGGGATACATTTGTTTTAATTTTAACTTAAAGGTTTTGGCGGAACAGGATGCAGACATTTTGAGTTATGATTGTCGCTGAACGCTGCATACCATACTTCATTTTAAAAACATAAAATTTTTAAAATCACTCCGCTTCTAAGTGAACAGCAGAGTTTAGAGCGATTTATTTTAAGTTTAACCAGGTTTTGAAGCTTTCGGCTAAATTCGGCCTCAATGTAACTTAGATATAAATTCGTTTTTCTATCTGTCATGTATAATTTGCTATTTTAGCTGTTTAGATATAATTAAAATCTGCTAAAGCTGAGCTTTGAAGGGTATCCCGCTGAAAACCAGCAGATATTTTCTGTTTCTGCTCACAGGTCTTATTGTGTCCAGCGGACAGTAAAGCAGCAGAAATGATGATATTTAGCTTACCTTGTATAAAGCCGATGAAGGCGATAATAGACAGTTTATAAATTGTAGAAAAGTCCGTCATGGTGCCACTTAGACCGTTTCTCTCTGGTCTGTTTCTTTACTAAAAGCTCGTGGAGTAAAGTTGCTTTAATGCTGGTTTTCCCCCTGAAAACCCAACAGCAGCATTTTACTTTCGCTTTCACTAACAACGTCATTTAGCATGAACACTACGGTCATAATATCAAACATAAGTACCTAAACCCTCTATTTAATCTGCTAACTGGCAACTAAACTAAGCTAAATAAAAGAAAATGAATTTGTTTAAAGTTGAGCTTTGCGGTAAATTTGTTTAGACAGGGAGAGTTCTTGATCTTCACCACTAGAGGGCGACAGATACCCACAAATAGATCTGGTAGAAACAGTTCCTGTTTGATAAATAATTTATCCTCTGGACTGCTCTGGTGTAGATTATCATGTTAAATGTGAGGTTAATCCGAATTATCTTTGTCAGAATGTAAGGAAACAGATCATTTGAATGTGTTAAACAGTTAATTCATAACCAGAGATATCAAAATACAAAAGGAGGAGCCAGTCATCTGAAACCTAACTCGACCTGAGAGTGCTGAGGTGAAATAAGGACAAGAGAAACAGAAACATCGAAATTTACACAATCATTTCTGAGAAACAGCAAAAATTTACTGTCTCAACTTTAGATATAACAAATCACATTTGTAAAATACGCCTGTCTGATTAAAATATATATTTTTTATTAGTATGGTTTATTATTTTATTATGGTACTTTTATTCAAACAGGCTTGCATCATAGAAAGCCACAATCAAGAGAGCAAAAAAATAAAAATAAAAATGATAAGTTAATTCTAGATCAAAGGTGTAAAGTACAGATTTAAATTCTGGAAATGTAGATATAAACATAACAAGAAAGAGTTTAGTTATAGTTGTGCTGATACTGCTTTTCATCACATTTTATGCAGGCAGATACATTTTCTTTAATGAGTCTTTAATATAACATGAGCAGATGTTGTTATATTTTTTCTGTTTTCTTTCTGCATGCATGACTTTTGAATGTGTCCAAACAAGGAAGACGTTAAGCTTCTCTGTCCCAGTAAAGGTTAAACTGATACTAACCAGGGCAGTAAATGTCTTCCTGGTTTTTGTGCCAACATTATTGTTATGACTCATCTATAAACCAACCCAACACAGTGGTCAGTTATACTCCGTCAGCCAAGATGGTGGCGCCCTAACATCACTAGTAACCACGCTCAGTTGATTTCCTGATTATGTTGTTGCAGCAGTCATGGAGCCACACAGCAGAGAAATAAACAGAAGAGAAACAGGGTTTTCAGTTTTAGTTAGCTGGAATTAAAGAAGCCTCAGATTAATTAATTAGTCTGATCATTGCAGCATTGGTTTTATTAAATGAACAACAAATAAATAAAGCAGCAAAGCTATTATATCTTAAGCAGTTTATCTTCATGGTATCTTTATATTCATTCTAACTGTAAGGACCAAAGTAACTTATAAGTTCCAGATTAAAATAAGCAGAGGCAGTTTGTCAGTGACAAATAAATACCACATGACTCATAGGTGTTTGTCTTTGCTCCATTTTAAAACAGGTTGCGACACAACACAAAAATGCATCATGGCTGTGAGAAATTAACAACATGTCACATCTTTGTATCAGGTACAATTTCTACATCTCAGTCTGTAGACGATTAATTACAGCTAATATCAGAATTTAGATATTTGGGTTAGCTGTTAGACACAACGCTCTCCTTTCAAAGTCTTAAAAAACTGATAACTCAGAGAATTATGTACAATATTTCTGATTTTAATCAAATAGGGGATCACGTATGAAGGAAGCTGCCATGATGCTTTTGCACTGTATCATCTTTTCCTTTGTAAACTATTGCATAACTAGCTGGTCTCTGACAGGTGTTATACAAAAAAAGCATTGGAAATTTGGCATAAAGAAACCGTTGTATTATTACGTCAAAATATAATCTATTAAGCTTTGAAAACTTAACAAAACATAAAAATGCCTTATCTATTAAAGCTTACATGGTTTCGTTCCAACACTGCAAAAGGACTACATTAACTATAGCTGATGACAGCATCCCGGACCACCAGGGCCATGAGTAGAGCTGAACGTGAGGTACCTGTGAGAAAAAGAGCATCTGGTCAAAATGTAATTTCATATAAGGGCTGTGTGCAATAGAATGGAATAATCTGCCAATTTCTGTGACGGAATCTCCTAGTCTTGAAACTTTTAAGGTCAGCTCAAACTTGTTAGTTCATTTTATAAGAACTCAGATCGTCACTTAGGGCAGTTAGTACTTAAGGGAAGGTGCAGTGTTTTAGGAAATTCAACAATTACTCTCCTGCTTCTTCTGACTCTATCCTTTGTGTATTCTGCTGTTGTGAGTGACCCTGATGTACTAATTTTCTCAGGACTGTTTGTAATGCATGTGCCCTGTGTTTCTTTAATTTTAAATTTAATGTTAACATTAACCTGTCCAGGGACTGTAGATTATATTAGATTATATTACCTTTATTGATCTCACAGAGGAGAAATTCACTGGTCACATATTGAGATAGTAATTAAAGAAGATGCAAACAAGGAGGAAAAAGGTGCATTAAGAATAAACAATATATATACAGTATATCAAGATAAATAGGATTAAGGTGCATGTGTACATGTATCACACACAATGAAAAACAAAATAAAAATAAGAAATAAAAAAATAAAAAATACAGCGGAGTAGCACAGAGATTTGAGGTGACATATGTAATATCCGCATGGCTTATATACAGGTGGATTTACTTTTACATTAAAGTGTAGTAGGTGAGGAGCAACGGTGAGGTAGTGGTATGACTATTCTATTCACATATATTGCACATTCAGCATATTGCACAGTCAATAAATAAAAACTATAATATAGCTGCACAGTGGTTTTTACAGGAGTTGTTGTGGTTATAGTGCATTATTAAAGAGTCTGGTGGCAATAAGAATGAATGGAAATTGATGGAAATTAGCGAATGGCTACAATCTAGCATATTTATATATGACATTGTTGAGCCATACCATTTGCTGGCTCCACAAGTGCATTAATAATAAACTGTGTGATAGGATCAACATAAGCTATCACAGAGTTTTTATTTTTTTGTGGAGGCTGAATAGTAGGTAATTTTAGTTTTAGTAAAACTTTATCAATTTTGGACCACTCAAGGTAAAGTGTAAAGTGTTTTTCCCTTTTTTATGCTAGTATCTTAAAAACCCGAAAGCTGACGGAAACAAAGAGACAAGGGACATCGACTTCTTTGCTCTGATTATTATGGGAACATTTCTCCAAGGAATTTTGATTGTGTTTATCCTGGGATCATATGGCAATGATTTAAGAACTGCTTAAAAAAACAGAGTTACTAATCAAAGACATTTACTTGAAATTGATGGATGTGAAATGGAATACACTGTCTCCTTGGCAACAAGACTGAACAATACATAGATGGTACAATACATTTTTAATACCTGATCAAACAGAATTTTTCTTTTAATTTTCAATCAAGCCACAAAGTTTAAAAACAGTACTGGATTGTGTTAATGAAAAGATGGTATATAAGAGACGTATTAAGGCTTTAAATAATGTGAACTTAAAAGAAAGAATACTTTTAAGGTTGATCTTGATGTGAAACCTGTGTGGCGGTTTCTTTATAAGCCACCATTGAAAAAAATACGGTGATTTACAATGAAGAATTCTACATGGTCTTGTTTCAGTTATTGTTTTTGTTTCTGTTTTTCCTGATATTTCAGAAAAATATATTTTTTGTTCGCTATGAGAAACCATTTTAATTGTTTTGTACAATACTATCAAATAATGGATTTACTCATAATACTTGACATTAAGAAATTATTTGGAGATAGTTTTACAGATAAATCTTTTATTTGGGGATTTTTAATATTAGGCAGGATAAAAAGAAAGGTGGTTTAATTCTTTCAGTGGTCAAGTTATGTTGGCTATTTATTTGAGCAGGGAATATAGGCGCGGTAACGAGCATGGAAAAATTATGTAAAACTCTTTCAGAACGTTGTTAGAGCAAGATTAATATTAGAATATAAATACAATCTATAAATGGATGAGTTGGATGTTTTCAAAAAGCTTTGGTATTTAGAAGGATTTCTGTTTATTCTAAATAATGACAAACTTTTATTTATAAATGTGTTGATATATGTCTTTCTTATCAGAAGTTTAATAGATAACCAAATATTTAAATAATCATAAGTGAAATATGAATAGCTTGACTGTTCTGGTAACTTTTCTGTAAATTATTCTGAAACATGTTATTTTACATGAATTCTTTGCAAAGGGAAATTTTCCAAATGCTTCATTTGAGCCATTGGAAGTAATGCCTCACCTAGAACTTCCTGTTGATGCCTTTTTTTTTTTTCTTGATCAGATTTTCCTTTTTCAATCACACCAGCTTTTTAAAAAGAAGACAGAAAAGGATTAGAGTTGAGTTAGATTTTTTTGTTTAAGCCCTAAACTCCAAGGATTTTAGATCCATTTAAATCATTTATTTTAATTAATACATTTATATTAAATAAAGTATTTTTAGTATCCACTTCTTTCAGTGAAATTGATGTCATTATTCAAAACACTGACTAAATTACTTCTCCTATTTAAATCCCATACTCTACCTGCAGAAGAAGCTTTCAGATTGCTTATGATGCTCTGTAACAAACATGTTGTTCACTTTTTTAGGTATGGATACCGTGCTGTCTAAGAGATGCTCAAAGATGATTTAACAGTTAAAAAACAAAACAAAAACAAAAAAACAGTAAATTAGGAAATTACATTTTTTAAGGGAACCAAGTGTTCCAAATACCAAGTGTTATATTATTTCCCAGGCAACCAGTTTTCAGGCTATTGAACAAAAATGTGTTTCAGGTAAAAAGTAGCACTGATAACCTGCTTAATTAGTTTATATCTATCTATCTATCTATATCTCTCTCTCTCTCTCTCTCTCTCTCTCTCTCTCTCTCTCTCTCTCTCTATATATATATATATATATATATATATATATATATATATATATATATATATATATATATATATATATATATAAAACTGTTTTCTCACCCCTCGTGGGGTGGTATGTGTCATCCTCAAGCTCGGGTCCTCTACCAGAGGCCTGGGAGTTTGAGGGTTCTGCGCAGTATCTTAGCTGTTCCTAGGACTGCGCTCTTCTGGACAGAGACCTCTGATGTTTTCACTGGATTCTGCTGTAGCCACTCTCCCAGTTTGGGGGTCACAGCCCCCAGTGCTCCAATTACCACTGGCACCACTGCTGCTCTTACTTTCCACATCTTTTCTAGCTCCTCCTTCAGTCCTTGGTATTTCTCAAGCTTCTCGTGTTCTTTCTTCTTGATGTTGCTGTCGCTTGGGATTGCCACATCTATCACTACTGCCTTCTTCTGCTGTTTGTCGATCAACACGATGTCTGGTTGGTTAGCCATCACCTGTTTGTCAGTCTGGATCTTGAAGTCCCATAGGATCTTAGCTCGCTCATTCTCAACTACCTTAGGAGGTGTCTTCCATTTTGACCTTGGGACTTCCAGCCCATACTCATGGCAGATGTTTCTGTACACTATGACAGCTACCTGGTTGTGGCGTTCCATGTATGCACTTCCTGCCTGCATTTTACACCATGCTGTTATGTGCTGTATTGTTTCAGAGGCATCTTTGCACAGTCTGCACCTGGGACCCTGCCTGGTGTGGTAGACCCTGGCCTCTATTGATCTTGTACTGAGTGCCTGTTCTTGTGCTGCCATGATTAGTGCCTCTGTGCTGTCCTTCAGTCCAGCCTTTTCCAGCCACTGGTAGGACCACTTCTTCTATTTGTCTGTGGTACATGCCGTGCAGCGGCTTGTCCCTCCATGATGGTTCTCCTTCCTCTTTCTTGTCTTCACTTTCGGTTTTCTCCTGCCTGAGGTATATATATATATATATATATATATATATATATATATATATATATATATATATATATATATATATATATATATATATATATATATATATATATATATATATATATATATATATATATATATATATATATATATATATATATACATATATATATATATATATATATATATATATATATATATATATATATATATGCAGAAGAAAACAACAATAATAGAACATTTTATATCAGCTAAAAATATTAGGTGATTTTTACATTTGATCAAAGCCTTTCACAAGATTTTAGAAACAGCTGATTTTCTGAAATAAAAATGATAATATTACCATTTAGTCCTACCTCTCTGTCTCTCCATGTGATATTTTAATTTCTGTTTCATTAGTAACCTTGCTGGTTCAAGTGACGTTGACATTAAAGCTGGATTCTCATTGGTTAAGTAAAGGTTGATGTTCCAGCCTTATGTCTCTAGCAGTGGAAAGGAGAACAACAGATCAGCTCGGAAATCAAGTTAATTTTTTGAAAGTCTAGATGAGGAATCATGAAGAAGCTGAAGTGTTTCGTGGTTCTGTTGGGAATATTTATACATAATGTGGCAGCAGGTAAGTTACTAAAACATTTTATAAGATCTATTAGCGAGAGTCTGAAATCTAACAGCTTATTAAACTAGTTTTATATCTAGACCCAGCTGGCTGCCATCACTACCTGTCTACTATTGCTGCTCCCTGTAAAATGCTCTTTCTAAAAAAGATAAAGACTTTCTTTGCCCTGCTTTATTTTTTTCAATTTGCATATTAAAGTAAGACTTTGTTTTAAATAGCTGATTTTAAATTGTATAAAAATATTGCAACGAACTGATAGTTTCCTTTTCTAATTAAGAGTCAAACCCTTTTCTTTTATCTCCTTCCAACACTGACGCTGGTTATCTTACTTATATTTGTTTTTGTGCTTCTATCCTCTATTATATTTTACTTTTCAGGACTTTAATCTCCTTGATATGTGCTTCATATTTCATGATAATGTGCTCAACTTCCTGAGGAACATCTTAAATCACGTGAATGAAATGTTAAGTATTTCATAGACAGCCTACTTGCTCTCAGAGGATAAGCGAAAGTAAAATGTAATTATAAAAAAATAACTTAAGTTACAGGAAGAAGAAAAAAAAAGAGTTTTAAGCAGTAACTCTTTGATAATCTGATTTGGTTTTTATCAGTTAAATAAAAATAGGAAGCTGTTTGCTTATTTTGATATTGTTAAGAATACTTTAAAAAGTGGCTAAAAATGAAAATAATTTCAAGAATATTTTCAAGTAAAAGTATTTCACAGTTACAAAGCAATTTTTTCAGCAGACTGAGAGTGTTTTGAAATAAAACCAGTCAGTCAACTTTAATTAATTTTATCTCAAAATGGTACATCAGGCTGATCTATACAGCCATATTGAATCAATTAGAAAATGTATTCTATTTAGAGCTTGGTTGTCAGATAAAAAGTACATTTTGAGAACAGCTGTATTTAAGAAGGTATCTAAATATTTAAAATATTTCTTTCTGCTGGTCAGATTTCATCAGGGGTGGAAAGTAACGAATTGCATTTACTCACGTTACTGTAATTGAGTACTTTTTATGAGTAATTTGTAATTTTCTGAGTAGTTTTTGAAATATGTAATTTTACTTTTACTCCAGTAAATTTTAACCTAGGTAAAACGTCCTCACGTACTGAGTAAAAAAAAAAAAAATACTGGTGAAAAAATTAAATGCGGCCCGAAATTTAAACCCCTGTGTCACGGAACCAAAACTTAATGCGCGACCCTGCCTTGCAATTACCCTTTGTATTGTCTCATAATCCAGTGCTGAGCTTTAGAAGATGGCAGTTGCTAATTACGACACAGAGAGTATGGATGAGGAAACACATTCTGGAGACGAAAGCCAGAAAAACCCTTGGCCATATCTGGACGGATTAATTGTTTTCAAATGCACAAAGGGGAACAATGTGATGATGCAGTGCAACATGTACCTGGCCAGCAAAACTGAGCTTTCGGCTTTTAAAACATCAACATCCAATTTACGAAAACATGTGGCGGTAAGTTAGCGCATATGTTTTTGTCTCCGACATCCCAAACTGTTTATTTATTATTTATGTATAAGCGAGGTCTTGGCTTGTTAGCAGTTGCTTAGAATAATCTAGTTCGGAATATCAAAAGTATGACTGAGTTGGGAATGCAAGCATTACAGGTATTTATTTTAATGAGGCGATAAATAAAATAGAATGTTATGATGGTTTCATCATAGGGCTAGGCGATAATTCAATAACGATATATATTGATCGATAGACGTGTGGTGCAATAGAAAAAAAGAGAGTCGATAAAAGTTCGATAAAAAAGAAACGCAGTTTTCCTTCCTTCTCATTGTAGCCTAGCATGTAGGTTTATGCTAGTCACTACTTCCTCCCAACCAATCACAATCGCGGACCCAGGCACGCCGTCACCAAGCGCCGCCCTCTCAAACCACAACACAGAGCACATGAAGATGTCGCAGCAAGGAGAGGCGGAGGAAATTGTTTCAAAGAAGGGTTTTTGTAGTTCGCCAATTTGGCAGTATTTCGGTCATGGCAAGTCGGACCAAAAAACAAACCACAGTCATCTATAAAATGTGTAGGGAACCAGTGAAAACGAAGTCTGATAACACAACCAACTTTTTTTTTTTTTTTATCATCTCAGCCGCTCACACCCGCAGGAGTACGAGCTGTGTTGGCCCCGGCGCGGCTCTCCTCCGAGGAATCTTCGGGAATTTCAGGAAAATATATATATTTTCAGTTCTGGGCAGTTTCCGATGTAGTTCTAACAATTGAGATAAAAATGCTGAGGGGCCAGCAACTTCAAAGTAATAACTCAGGTTAAAGCAGGAAACGGGGGGGCGGCGGCGGTGGGGGGCATTTATTTGTTATATTTATTTTGGTCACTTTTCTGGTCACTTTAGTTTATTCTTTGTCAGTATTTAATAACATAACCCAGGTCTCCTAAGTTATTTTTCTTTAAAACAATTCTGTTATGGTTAAAAAAGTTGGTTAAATAAAGATTTAATTTGAAGTCTGTGTTTGTGTTTTTTAATAAAATTAAATCATTTAGCAATATTATAAAAAGTCCAGGCAGAGCTGCACATAAAATATGGTTTCAAATCTTTTCAATAATTATCGATATCGATCAATATGCATTTTTTTTTTATCGATAAGCTTTTTTTCTATATCGCCCAGCCCTATTTCATCATGGACCTGAAGGTCCTCCTGCTCGCACTCATCCGGTTCCTTCCCCCATCTCTCTCTGGTGTTCTGTGAACTTCAGGTTCAGCATTAAACTGTTGAACTCCTTCCCAAACATTAAGAAGCTGTCTCTGAAACTCAACACAGGCCTTCCAGACTCAGCTGCCTGTGAGAGGCTTTTTAGTTCAGCCGGGTTGCTCTTCACAGCAAAGAGAGCAAAACTTACAGCAAAAAACTTTGAAATTCTGTCATGATTGGCTAATGGACTTAACCCACATGCAGAACACCAAACTTGAGACAGAGGAAAATTTAACAATGTTTATTAAGGAGGAAACATACAGAGTAATATGGACTGGTTCTGGTACAGGTCCAGGACTGGTTTCACAGATATCTGAAGGGATGAGAGTTTGATTAGCCAGGCAGTTAGATCGTTTGACGAGTGAGTAATTCCTGAATGTACCTTGAAGAGGTTCTGACAGATCCTTGAGATGGGAAAACCGGTTGGGTCCAGAGATTGTGGAAGTAGCAGAGAGCTCAGCAGCAGCAGCGTCTAGCTTCTGGTTAGTGAGACTCTGACGTGGGTTGTTCCTAGCTCTTCCCTGAGAGCTGAAGGAGGAATCCAGACTAAGACCTTCAGGTTTGGCTTCCTTGGGCAGGCAGGCAGGTTTCCAGGTAAAGCTCATCCAGAGCTTCAGACTTTGGTCAGGTTTTCAAACTTGGTCAACACTCCGGCATCGAAGGAAGGTCTGACTGCTGCTTATGTAGGAAGGTCTCCTGATGGGTTGATGAGCTTCAGGTGTGCGGGAGGCTCCAGCCCAGGAGACACACAGCGCTCTCTGCTGGAGACAGATGGTAGATCTCCAGATCCCAACAGTAACCCCAGTCCTTAACAGAAAACATATAACAGAAGAGGATCCTCGGCGCCCTCTGGTGGGCAAGCCTCAGGATCCCAACAAAATCAGCTACTGCTGAAATTGAACAAGAGCTTTACCGGTCTAAAGTTGTAGATTTGGGGCAGTTGTGTGAGTTCCTGTGGACACTGAATTTTTAAGTTAGATCCTGTGAGGACTTTCTTTTAAATTGTTGGATCCTGTCAGAATTTTGTTTTATTGTGAACAGTGGGATCCTGTGGCATTTTAGTTTGATTTCTTGTATCTTTTGGGCAATCAATTTGAATACTTTAAAATGTAGTTAAAATTTCTTTATTGTTGGACAGTAGGATTTAAAATTGTTTGCACTTTATGGTACAGGTTGTGACTGTCCTTGTGCTATGGGGAAGTATGTTCTTTAGCCCAGCTGATCTTTTGCAAGTGCGGATGTCCACTGAAATACGCCTTGAAATCGATTAAAACACCTTGTGCTCAATTCGATTCATGACTCATCCTTTTTTTGCATTAAATAACTCAAAGTAACTAAGTAACTTTTACTCAAATTACATTTTAAATGAAGTAATTTTGTACTTTCACTTGAGTAAAATTTGAGATGGGTAATTTTACTTTTACTCTGAGTAAAATTCAGGCAAAGTAAAGATACTTTTACTCAATTACAATTTTTTAGTACTCTTTACACCTCTGGATTTCATATTCCTGTTTTAAATGTTGGGCTCCTCAGTGATGCAGTGGGTAGCACCGCTAACTTGCAGCAAGAAGGTTCTGGGTGCAAATCCCGGCCCGGGGTCTTTATGCATGGACATTCTTTCCAGGTACTCTGGCTTCCTCCTATAGTCGAAAAACATGGCTGTTAGGTTAATTGGTTTCTCTAAATTGTCCTTAGCTGGGATAGTAGTATGGGGCTGGGAGTGTGTGTTTGAACAGTTTTTGTCTCTGTGTTGCCCTGCGATTTACTGGCAACCTGTCCAGGGTGTACCACGCCTTTCTCCCATAGACAACTGGAGATAGGCAACAGCACCCCTTGTGGCCCCACTTGGGATAAGCATGACAGAAAATAGATGGCTGTTTTAAATGTCATGTTTTTATTATGAGTGGAAAGTCTTCAGCAGTAGAATGATTCATATAAATCAAAACTTTTAAGTATCAGTCTGTTACTGATGAATCCATAGAATGTATCTCATTTAGTGACTTTAATTGGTGAATTTAATTAACTTTTCTGTAATTTGCATTTTTATATAAGGGAAAGTATAGGTACCCTTGTAAAACAACAACCAAATATGCTAATTTTTACCCTTCAGTGAAGCATTCCCTGAGATATTTCCGTACTGCTACCTACGGAGTCCCAGGCTTTCCAGAGTTTGTTGGGGATGCAACAGTAAATGAAGTTCAGGTGGGATATTATGACAGCAACATCAAGACCGCCAAGCCCAAACAAGACTGGATGATGGAACTGTTTGAAAAGGATCCCAACCACCTGGAGTGGTATTCTAAGAAGTGTCTTCGAAGTCAACATTTATTGAGAGCAGACGTGAATGGCTTGAAGCAACGTTTAAACCTCACTGAAGGTAAGGAGCTTTTTAATAAACATGTTTTCTTCGCTTATATTGGCTTTAGGTTTCAGTATAAAGTGCTTGCCCCGAAATCCCACATACTCCATCAGTGCCCCGCTGCGCTCCAGACCGCCTGCTCAAAGCAAAGCCTACAGCCCCGACTGTGGCTCCCGTCCGCTCCGCTCTGAGTTCCTTGGAGATGGTAGAGAGCATGCGCGAGATGATTAAATTCAAAGCAGCAAAACGTACGGAAATGATCCAGGGTTTCTGCTGATCATTTAAAATAATTACAATCCATTATTTTTGGGGGGATGTTTTCATTAATTCCATAATTTTTTTGGATTTCGGTGTAACAATCAACATGTATCGAACCGAACCGAAAACCGTGACCAGAAACCGTGAATCGAACTGAACCGTGGATTTCGTGAACCGTTCCACCCCTAATAAATATATATATATATATTTATTCAGTTCTGGGCAGTTTCCCACGTAGTTCTAACAATTGAGAGAAAAATGCTGAGGAGCCAGCAACTATAAAGTAATAACTCAGGTTAAAGCAGGAAACTAAGCTGAACCATAACGAGGTGCCAGCAGCACCTCTAGAAGAATAGGGTTGAGAAAAAATACCCAATAGAAATGCTAGGTTAAAGGGTGAGTTGATTTTTGTTTGGGTTTTTGTTCTTGTTAAGGGGAGTTTACATGGTAGCCTAGTCCTACAATCTTTTAATTACCACAAGCTGGTGGTGTACTATTCCCACACAAATAGGGTATTCTATTTATTTATTTGTTATATTTATTTTGGTCACTTTTCTGGTCACTTAAGTTTATTCTTTGTCAGTATTTAATAACATAACTCACGTCTCCTAAGTTATTTTTCTTTAAAACAATTGTTATGGTTAAAAAAGTTGGTTAAATAAATATTTAATTGGAAGTCTGTGTTTGTGTTCTTTACTAAAATTAAATCATTTAGCAATATCATAAAAAGTCCAGGCAGAGCTGCACATAAAATATGGTTTCAAATCTTTTCAATAATTATCAATATCGATCAATATGCAATTTTTTTATCGATAAGCTTTTTTTCTATATCGCCCAGCCCTAATGTCAACCATCAGATAACTTACCTGGAACTTATGGCCCATAAATGAGCATACGCTGGCATACCTTCTTGCTGTATGTCAACGTGTGCCAGCATGTTTCAGTATGCATCAGAGTACTTCAGCATGCTCATAACTTCAACTTATCCCAGTTTTTGCCAGATTTTTCGTACATCAGCCTGGCTAAATCGTCAAGGTGTGGCTGGGGCTTTATGAACTGAAAATACACACATAAGAATGAATTACAGATTAGCATCATTTTGTGAACAGCGTATGTAGGATTTTAAAAGCATAGTGAAACGAATAGCATGTTTCAGGTAAAACTGAAAGATTAACATTTATTAATCATTTTATGGTGTAATGTGACTCTGAAAGGGAGCCAGCGTCTCCTGTTACAAGGTACACTATAACTGTCATCATTAATCATGTGAAACAGGTTCACAAAAGTTTAGTTTTTAGTTTTATGAATTTATTATAAATTCAGCACACAAACACACATGCAGCCAAAAAAAAAAAAAATCAATGAAGTCTTTAGAACAATTAGAGACAACTCTCAATAATAGTCTAAACATTATATGTATATGAAAACAACAAAATCAAAAACATAAATCTATTGGTGGCTGTTGGATACTAAAGAAAAGAGGCTTTTGTCTTCTTTCCAGATACTTTTACATCCTTTCTTTAACTGAAGTGCTTGGATGCTTTATTAGCTTATTTTTCATGGCTTGAATGCAGCACCACCTAGAGGCGTTTTGTAAAACAACAGTATGAAACAATGGCTCTGTTCGAAAACCTGGGCTGCATCCTCCAAGGACGCGGTCTACCTAGACTGGATCCTTCGAAGTCCTTGAAAATAAGGAGACCGGAAGAGTTTTGGCTGTAAATTCGAACAGATCTATCCTTCGGCGGGTTTTACCGTATGCTCTGTTGCTTAGCAACCATGGAAGTTGACACACAAAGCAGGAAAAGAATGAAAATCGAAGTTTTCAAAACTGTTTGTTTATTTCTTTCTTTTTTTATTATAAAGTGAACAAAGACTACACTCACAAGAATCCAGAGTGGAATAAAGGCACTAACCACCGGGAGCAGGAACAAATAAAATCAAATGTAATGATAGAAACCTTAGTCAGTTAAATAAAATGCTGCTGTCATTCTGCACTTTTCTGATGTTGTTGCTAATTTCAAATATCATTACTGTAAAAATGTCCATAGCTGCATAGTGGTTATTTATTCTCCAGTTTTATATTGTTAAACACTTTATAGAATTGTATTGTTTATATTTTAACTCTTCCCTCTTATTTTATTCTTATACATTTTTCTAAGGTCCTCATTTGTGTGACCATTTTCAATAAACTTTCTGCTGCTATAAATTTGCCCATTGTGGGACAATAAAGGGATTTTCTATTCTATAAAAGGGGTAGAAATATATAAGTAAATCTAAACAATGTATGTATAAAAAATATATATCTGCAAAATCTCTAATATTCAACAACAAAAAATACTTAGTTAAGCATAATGTGCAAAACAGCAATAAAAAATTTAACTATCAGATTTATAGTCCCCACCCTGCAGACCTATTAGAATCTGTCCTTAAATTACGGCCAAAAACATTTACATAGTAACAGATAAAAACCTATAGATAAATCAAACATTACCGCCACATATCTGACCATTAAAACAACTATTTTCATTAATTTCAGACGGAACTATTCACATACTTGTATTATATTAAACTGAACTTCAAATTTTCACCACTGTTCGGCGCATAGTAACCTTTCCTCTGATCACGGAGCAAATCCCGGCTTGCTTGGTCTCGCAATGAATCCTGGGTAAACCAAGGATTCCGAGGATACATCGGACCCGTCCTTCAAACCTGAAAAAGAAGGAGGCATTTTAAGGTCGCATAACGAGGACTCTTGGAATCTGACCAGATCTCTGCGCCGCACTATGACATAATAGTCCTTCGAATCTGGCCTTCTAAGGACGCGTCCTAGGTTTTCGAAAAGAGCAAATATAATCCTTGCAAAAAAGGCGGCATTTAATCTCATAATAAACCTTTTTCCTTATTCATAAGTTTGATATTGTCTCTCTTACCTCAAACTGAAAAAACAAAACAAAACAGTAAATGTTTATCTTCTTTTATTTATTTTCTTGTTAAATTCAATTTGGTGGTACATATATGAGATGTTAAACTCTGTTCCTGTCTTGGAAACATTTATTTTTTAATGATTTCGATTAACTGTTTTCCTTTTTTTTATGTGTAAGGTTAGTGTGCCCTCTTATGTTGCTTAAGTTTTTTTTTTTCTTTAAGGTCCCTACATTTTGCAGAGAATGAATGGCTGTGAGTGGGATGAGGAGACTGGAGAAATTACAGGATATGAGCTGTATGGTTATAATGGGGAAGACTTCTTAGCCCTGGACCTGAAGACCCTGACATGGATTGCTCCCAAACCACAAGCTGTACTCACAAAACTCACATGGGACACCATGAAAGCTAGATTAGAACAGTATAAACATTTTTACAACTATATATGTCCCGACTGGTTAAAGAAATATCTTCATTATGGGAGGAGCTTTCTGCAGAAGAAAGGTATATTTATGATATAATTTAAATGCAGCAACAACAGAATCTGCAAATGTATTACAAAGATCATCTTTTTTATTATAATTTTTTTCTTAAATAGAAAGACCCTCTGTGTCTCTGCTCCAGAGGACTCCCACCTCTATGTTGACCTGCCATGCTACAGGTTTCTACCCCGAAACTGCTGACATTTTCTGGAGAAGAGATGGAAAAGAGATTCATGAGGGTGTGGAGAAAGGAGAGATCCTTGCAAACAATGATGGAACCTTCCAGATGAGTGTTGAGTTCAATGTTTCATCTGTCCAGCCTGAAGACTGGAATAGATATGACTGTGTGTTTAAGTTCTCTGGTTTTAACGACAACATCATTGTCAAATTGGATAAATCCACAATCCGTACAAATTGGGGTAAGGGTTGTTTTAATCCTTTATATGCTGATAAATCTTCGAAGATAAATAAATAAGCATCAGTAATAAAATCCAAGTCTTTGCTCCAAGGAGGCCGCTCAATCATTAGATCATTACACGACACCCTCTGTTTCTACACCTTTGATAAACAGTGAGCACTTCAGACTCCAACACCAAAAAGCTGCAGTTTTGAAGCGGCTTTGACTAACTTTTTTTTTTTTGACTACTCATAATTTTCCCCTTGTTAAATTCCATAAAATTAATATGTTTGTCCATTTCTTGAAACCTTTGAAAAATGCATGTGGAATTATTATGATCTTTGTGTTCACATAAGCTGCTAGTGGTCATAGCACCTTATCATATGTACTCCTAGCTGTAGTTACTCCCGGTAAAAGCAATCTTATTAAGTATGGAGTGGTTTATAGGATGTCTGTCTTTTTTGTTATTCTGGTTCTTTTACAGTCTATTTTATTAACTCTTAAACTCATCATTGAACATTTTTCTCATTTTTAGTTTTGAAATATTAAAAGCTTACCCTAAGTTCTGGAGCCCTTTTATTTATGCATTCTGGGATTTCTGTAGATTTTAAAGTGACTCTTGTTTGTGGATCTCCTTAGCTTCTCCTTCAGAGTTTCCAGTCGCTCATGTTGCCGGAGGTGTTGGAGGATTAATTCTTATTGGAATTGCTGGAATCTTTTTTTGGGTTAGGAGAAATAATGGTGAGCAGAACACCCTTTTTTTCTACATTAAATACCAATTTGAAATTAAAGTTTTTTTTATTTTAGAGTTGGGTTATATTCAGAAATGTTTACTATTTGATTTTATTAAAGCCTTTAGCTCAGTGGTCTCCAACCCTGGTCCTCAAGATCTACTGTCCTACAGATTTTAGATGCATCCCTGCTTCAACACAGCTGAATCAAATGATTGATTACCTTTTCAAGCCATTCATTTGATTCAGCTGTGTTGAAGCAGGGATGCATCTAAAATCTGTAGGACAGTAGATCTTGAGGACCAGGGTTGGAGACCATAGCTTGATGTTGTTTATCCTTAAACTTAAAATTTCATCTCGTGAATATTTCCAGTATGTTATTCTCGGGATGGTGACTGAGATTTTAATAAATTAAACTTTTTATAATTTGTCTTAACAGATGAGGATTAAGCTTGAAGCATTACAGTTGGAAAGTTCTGGTCTAATGAAGGATTTTGGTTTAAGGAGCTACTGGCTCCTGCTGCACTATGTGGTTTTATTGTTTGTGGAAAAGTACCTTAGAAAGCTCAGAAAGCTGTTTAGAATCAGCAGGTTAAGTAAAGTTGGAGCTGATTGAGTGGAAAACAGTTGCCAATTGCCTCTCTAAGTCTTTTCTAAGTTATTTACTTGTAAACAAGTTATTTGATATTTCTTGAAAAGAAAAAAATCTATCTTTATTTTTGTTCACCAGATGAATGTTACATGTGGGACAGAACAAAGGTGGAGCATGAGGTGCAGGCTATAATAAGATAAAAGTAACATTTCATAATAATGACATGACAGGGTAACAACAACCATTCGCTTGTTGAAAATACTAGGATCTGTAAAATGTATTTAAACTGAATATTAATATCTCTGCAAAACAAAACCTGCCTTTTTTTAATTTTTTTTTTAGCAATAATCCTGTGAACAGGATGAGACAACAGCATGAGAAGCCAACAACGACAAGGAACCAGCCAAGAGTGACAGCAGAGGGAGAGCATTTATGGCTGACTGAAACAAAGGCTGGGCTAACGAGCTGATAAGGAGCAGGTGTGAGAAGAGACAACGAGGAAGCCGAGGGGAAAGGACCACACACAAGAGGGCAACAGAGAACAACAAAGAAAAACCTGAGCACTAAAATAAATCTAGAAAATACTACAAAATAGAAAACATGGAGCAAACTAATCTACTTGATCTAATAAACTTGACCTAATAAACTTGATCTTCATCAATGCCAAGTCAAATAAAATTGAAAGGGCCTGTTAGTGTTGCACTTTACTGATCTTTTTTACACTAATGCCCTTTTGCACCGTTATTTAAACTGTTTTCTTTTTTCTCCTACATTGTTAAATTCTGATCACTGCCGCACTTTGTATTGGTAATGTTTATCTTACCTAAACTGCAATCTAATTACACTGTTGTAAGCTGTATGCAACAAAATTTTGTTTTGTATACACACTGTGCATACAAAATGACAATAAAATGTGTCTAAATCTAAATGATGATTTTTGTGGCCCTCAACCGCATTTCAAGTGTGGAATATATTGGTATGTCAACTTAATCTGAAAGTAAATCACAACACGCATAAATTGGAAAGCAACTGGACTTTTTCTCAGTTCTTTTGAAGACCTTTGGAAACCTTATCCAGCAGTCTTTGTCTATTCTGTTTGCTCGCACAAGAGTACATACAGGCATGCCTAAAGAAAATGTTAGTGTGACTTTTACTGATAAAAGTGTGAAGCCCTTGTGAGTCATCACTGGTTATATTGTTTCATCTCAGTGAAGATGAAACGTGGAATATCAGCCTGCACTCTTAAAGAGTCAAGGAAATTTGTCTTGTAAGGTATGAATTCACACATGCCATGTGCACCTCTGACCAGAGGGTGGCACTGTGGGATGGTGGTACGTTGCCATACGAGGCATATAAGACTTTTACATTTTTGCGGCTCCAGACAGATTATATTTCTGTTTTTTTGGTCCAATATGGCTCTTTGAGCAGTTTGGGTTGCCGACCCCTGGTCAAGAAAAAGGGGGATTCTGATATCCAGAGGAGTTACTGAATTGGTAACAGGAGGTGCACTCACCAGGCAGAGGTTTGCAGAGGGACAGGCTTGGGTCATACACAGAACAATCCAGACAGGGGATGAGGCAAACAGACTAGTTCAACAAGCAGGGTAGGAGGTTATTGTCCAGAGACCTTAAGCGAATAAGAGTATTTAACAGGGGCAAGGTAGTGATGTTGGGCTCAAGGCAGACTGCTTGATACGGCTTTGATCTTTTTGAAGCAGAAGTGTCGCTGAGAAGTGTTTCTACCAGTATTTGCATATGCCCGTTTGTGCGAAATAAGCCTGTGAAACAATGTTCCCAGAGTCAATGTCCTTGACAGATTATATACACACATGTATTATATACACACATTACACACACACACACACACACACACATATATATATATATATATATATATATATATATATATATATATATATACATAATGTGTGTTTGAATGTGTATATATATAATTATTTTAAAGCATTGAAAAAACTACATAGAAAACAACCATGAAAAGGCCTCTGCTTATCTCTCAGTCCCTTTCTTTTCAGACCCTGTTCCCCTGATTATTGTAATAATCAAGCAATTATTGTTTCATTTTAGGGCCAGAGACAAAATGATCCAAAAAAAAAAGCCAAAAAAAAACAAAAAAAACAATAGCACACAATGGGGGTTTTTGGAAGCCACTTCAGGATCTGTGGGAGCCAACAGGTCTGAACATAATGCAATAAACATTGCTCTTCACTACATCCTGCAGCACATGGATTCCGCAGAAACTTATGCTGAGAATCCTTCAGTCCCACCTTCAATACCATTATCTACAGTAGGAGCCATTCATAATCGCCCTTCCCAGTCAAATGCCAGCTGAATGGCAGCCTACTCCCCTGCAGCTCCCAGCAAAATTCCCTCCAAGTTCCAGCCTCTGGCCTTCTCCTAGGCATGCATATTGTTTTTACTCTGACTCCACCCTTTCAATGTATTATAAGATCTGATCAGTAGATAACGCTTCCCTTTAGATTGTAATGTCCATAAATCATGACTGAAAGAATATTTTAGTATTTTACAAAATGCACACTCTGGTTTTAGAAAAAAATCATAGTACTGTTACTGCAACTTTAAAGGTTTTTAATGATTCGATCCAGGCTCTTGATAACAAAAAATATTGTGTTGCTTTGTATATCGATCTATCAAAGGCATTTGACACAGTAAATCACACACTTTTAATTGAAATTCTACACAAAATTGGGCTCTCCCATCAAGCTACCATGTGGATAGCTGATTACTTGTTAAACAGAACCCAGAGAGTCCAAGTAGCTGGTTTCACCTCTTCTACTATTGCTATTTTAAATGGCGTACCTCAAGGCTCAATTCTTGGTCCACTTTTATTCTCCATTTATATAAATAACTTGTGCGTCAACTTGTGTTTATGCAGATGACTTAATAATGTACTGCAACTCTTTATCATTATCACAGTACACACTCTCCATCTCTCTGTGTGTGCTGTATCTTACAGTATTTACAGTCTGCTTTTAATGTAGTTCAAACACGTTTTACAAACTTTGAAGTTGGCTTTGAAAGTGGATAAGACTAAGGCAATGGTTTTCTCACAGTCTGCTAAACTACCAGAAATCCCTTTATTTCTTACCACTGCAGTAGGTGCACAAATTGAGTTTGTGAGTAATTATAAATATCTTGGTTTTATTCTAGATAATGAACTTTCTTTTAAAAATCACATAGCAAATCTATTACGAACATTAAAAATGAAGATTGTGTTTTATTATCGAAATGGATCGTGTTTCTGACTCAAAGATAGAGGTAAATTGGTAGCAGCAACATTCCTGCCACGTCTGAAATCATTGAATATTGTTTATCATCATGCTTTAAGGTTTATAACTGGTAGTAGACGTTTGATACATTGTTATGATTTGTATGCAAAAGCTGATTGGCCTCCTTTAAGTGTTCGGAGAAACAATCATTTGATAATCCTAATATATAAATGTCTCCTTGGACTAACACCAACATACTTAAAGAAATAGTACACCCAAAACATGATTAGCCTTCATTTTCTACTCACCCCCATGCTGAACAACACTCTGGAGTACTTTTTTGATATCTCAAATGCATCTGGAGATCTGGGAGGCTTCTTGCTGTCTGCTGACATTCAAATAATGGAGGTCTATGGCGCCCGAGGCAGAAAGGTCCATAAAAGTCCACAAAAAACTTGTCAATATTCCTCCATACTGCTCGTCCAATGTATTCCAAGTGTCCTGAGTGGGTAGCGTCCATAATTTAATCGAAATGAAGTCATTTAGAATGTTTTTAGAGCATAAACAGTAGTGTATAGGGTTTCCTAAAAGCGCGCGCCCGCACGTTCACGACACTACGGAAACCGCGGCAGACCAAACCAGATGAAAGTGCGCATTCCCAAGCGACCCTGGTCTCACATCGCCATCAACTTCATCACAGGTCTTCCCACCTCCAAACGTATGACAACCATTCTCACTATTATAGATCATTTTTCCAAGGCCTGCCATCTTGTCTCTTTGAGGAAACTCCCTACAGCACTGCAGAAAGCTAAGCTCCTCGTTAAGCATGTTTTTCGACTACATGGAATACCTCTGGACATTCTGTCTGACCGCGGCCCACAGTTCATCTCCCAGGTGTGGAGAAGTTTTTGCTCGGCTCTTGGGGCCAACGTCTCTCTCACTTCCGGTTACCACCCCCAATCCAATGGACAAGTAGAGCGCATGAATCAGGAGTTGGAAGCCAGCCTCACGTCTCACTGATTCAGATCCCACGAACTGGAGTCAACTTCTCCCTTGGATCGAATATGTGCATAATTCCAGTGTCTCTGCCGCCACAGGTCTCTCCCCATTTGAGGTTTCTATCGACTACCAACCACCCCTCTTCCCGTCTGAAGAGGCAGAAATCACCGTATCCTCCATCCAGCATCACATCCGCTGCAGCTGGACCTTCTGGAAACGGGCCAGGACGGCCCTGGGAAGAACCTCCCAGCAGAATCAGAGGTGGGCAAATATTTAGTAATTAGTAAAATTAGTACCATAATAAGATCAGGAAAGACTTGGTGCTGTTTTGCTGTGATGCCAGAAGGGTTTTCAGTTTGAAAAGTTAGAGGTTTAAAGCAAGATTATAAAGGAAATGTTATTAAAAAAAAACAACATAAAATCTTCAACATGTGTTGTTGAACTAGTTCTCCATCTTGGCTCAATATTTTTATTGTTTTATAAATGTTATTGTTTTATAAATATGCATTTTTCTCATTTTAAACATTAAGAATTTGTAGTTTTTGATAAAGTAATTCTTTCCTATTTGGGTTTATTAATAAAAATATGTGTCTATATTCTATAAATTCATTCATTAATAATTCAATCCATTGAAATCTTTGTGCTAGTTTTGTTGCTCCTTGTATTTGCTCTTTATTGCCTCCTTTTTGAAGTTTGACCTCTTTTAGTTCAGGCCTATGAATTAGCAACTAGCTACAAAGCCTACGAACAGAGTATCAGTCACTTTAATATGCTTCTGTTCTGTTCCTACAAAATAAACTTAAAAATAAGTATACATACTGAATATTTACATATAATTGTTTTCGCTTTCAAAATAAATTTAATTGAGAACTATGATTTATCAAAGTAAAGAAATTGATGTGTTTAAAATATCTTATTACAATTTTAATCAACGGTGATTATTCATAATCCTTTCATAAAACAAATCAAACTAAAGATGGAGAAAAAGCTGAATACAGAGAGCTGGTGAATCACTTTGTGGCATGGTGTAAAAAAATCATCTGATCCTGAATGTCAACAAAAGGAGATCATTGTAGATTTCAGAAGAAAGAGGAAAAAGATTAAATCTATTAACATAATGGGGGAAGAAGTGGAGGTGGAGAAGGAGTATAAATCCTTGGTGTTCACCTGGATAACAAGCTGGACTGGAGACAAACTGTGAAGCCGTCTACAGGAAGGGACAGAGCAAATTCTACTTCAGGTTTGGTCCTTCTACATTTGAGGCATGATGCAATACATATTCTATAAGTCTGTTTTAGGGTATCAGTCTCAGAGCAAATTACTTAAAAAAGCTCAACAGGCTAATAAAGAAGGCAAGCTCTTGTCTAGGAACTCTTCTAGAACCTCTG